AATGGCGTTAAAATAATAGTATCGAAAATTCTATTGAAACTATCGATATATCAAGTGTGGTAAATATTGGATCACGATGTGTGATATTTTTGTTTCAAACACTAGTCTACATGTTTGCATTCGTATTTGAAGCGATCCGTGTTTTTTTTCGTTCTCTTTTTAAATTTCATATTTTTTTTTTATTAATAAATACGGTTAATCTAAAAGTGGCCGTTTAAATGCTTATATCACTTAACTACTAATTAGAAAATTTTTGATCAAGATTTATGCAGCCGTTCTGGAAATACTTGACACATATATTTGAATTTCCTCTCAGATATGTGCAGGCATCACGATGTTTTCCTTCACCGTAAGATCGTCGGATAAATGTACATATAAAAATCGAAAATCGAATAACACATTGGTACATGGCGGGATTCGAACCTAGGAACTGCACAAGTCAAGTGCTTGACCCCTGAGCTACCGATACTAGACTTAGACATTAGACAAACTAGTAAATATCTATTAGTATTTCTTTCATAATGAATTGTTGTTGTCATATTTTTCATATGACAACAACAATTCAAAAACCTTAGGATATGATATAATAATTAAATTCCATTTCAACACAAAGTTCATACAATATAATCTGTGCTGATTTGGCGTAAGTAATAAGGGAATAGAGTTCCCGTATTGAAATAGTTTGGTTCGTTAAATACATTACAAATGAATGGAACCACTCTAGTCTTTACTGTGTGTACGAAAAGAGGGTTATACTCGACCAGGAATATAAGCAGAGAGCAAAATGTTTATAAAATCTTATTCGTAATTTATATTAGGTAAAGGATTTTTTTTTGTATTTAAAAGGAATTATTTAAAGACAAAGTTCTCTTTCTACAAAAAAAAAAAATATTCAAACAGTGAAAACTAACTCAAAAAATAAACTTGGTATTAGTAAAAGAAAGAAATACGAATATGTTATAATTCGTATAAGTAAATCGTAAAAACTATTTAATATAGTGTTTTAAAAATCATTTACAAGGATAAGAAAAAAAATATTTGTTAAATGTTTTGCAGTGTCACATTATGTTGTTTAACTCAATTTTAATTATTTACCTTTCCCAATATGAAATGATAATGTTTTTGTCAGAACTATTTAATGTTCCCGTATGTGATTTGGTTTTGAGTGAATTCTGATTTAACTATGACGTACGTAATCTCGCAGGACATGAAATATTTCTGAAAAGAATCCGATTTTTCCATTCGTAATGTCGCAAAAAAACAATACATTCCCCTCAAACTACGTGCCCTTAATGCCCTTAGGGATCTTATACAATTTTTACTATTATAATAGCGTCTTACATAACAGTATCCTTTTTTATTTTCAGTTATCCTGAAGCTATAAAACTAATCTTGTATTTAATAAAAAGCTTCTTAAATGCAAAGCTACGTTTTATATGAAAAACAAGATTAAGTCTAATATTAATTTATGTTTTACATTATGCCAATACAGTAGGACAGTAGCGTTGAACATCAGCACTGGCATACATCTTGAGTAATGTTAACCATGCCAGTACAACCGTACAGTCAGCTTCACAAATATGTATACACTTAAAAATGTAGAAACTTGTAAAGGCGTTCGGTTTCAAAAATACGTATAAGCATTAATTCGTTAATAAAATGTAATGATAATCGGAAGCATAAGAACAAATGCATGTATATATATTTGGAATCGAAAGCGTATACTAGATTTTAAAGCTTTATAAATGTATACATATTAATGTAGCTGACTGTACTAATATAATGTGTCTGAATGATGGTACTGGCTAGCTTTGTAGATAATAAACAAGTCACCGTACTACATGCATACATGCTTTTAACTTTCTAGCAAATCACTATTACATTTTGTGTAATGCTGAATTGCCTGTTGAGGTTTTAAGGAATGGTTATTCCAAAAAGAGTATTAGTCAATTGTTTAAGTTAGTAAGAATAAGAATTAAATTAAATATGAGATAGAAAAAATAAAAAGACTTTTTAAGTACTCTTCTATAGAAAAATGCTACAGTAAAATATTTAAAGGTTACAATTTCTATACAATAAAAATGAAACATTAATGTTAAAGTAATCAAACGAATAATTCTTTTGTAAGAGACTAAAAAAATAAAATTCATAAAGAAATAAAATACGTTTCGGTTCAAGTTCGTGAATAAAATTCGTATAATAAAGTTGAAATTTTATAAATACGTTTATGATTCCTTTGTACCAATATACCTGTTAATATTACAACAAAGATAAAGGTCGGTACGCGAATTAAACACTGTTCAAATAATGTATAACAAAGAAATAATATCCAAAAATATAACATTTGAATTTCCTAAACATCCGTGTCCGTATTTTAGAATGTTTAAATATAAATTGGTATTATATGTACATTTAAACGTATACGAGTTAGCTAATATTACAGCTATTCGTAATGTTTGTGAGATAAATTAAAAATAAAACGTACAATATCTTAGTCCATTCTAAAAGTGTTTTACTAAGAACAAAATTTTACTTTGTCTATGGTTGAGAGTTCTTAATGGAATTCGGTATACTCTACATCATCAATTTAAATGTCTTGTAGCCATGAATTATCATTGCCGTAACATCCATATAAAGCATACACTTTTCTCTCTTTTACCAAATAAAATGAGAGGGACGATTATGCTTTTGTACATGTCTTTCGACAGTGTAGACTCATAGGTCAAGCATGGTGCCATCGGAGATCCCAGAGTCCCCCAGAGACACCAGTTTTCGTTGTTAAAACCCCATATAAACTTGTTTTCCCCCAGGAGTATGGTATCTTTGTATTTCCCCCGATACCAAAAAAGTCAAGCACGTCGTGGAATAAAAGACTTTTCGTTTGAATTCCGCTGTTCAGTGTAAAACTTTTCAACTATTGGCGCTTCAGTGGTCTTTTAAAGCTGACTTTTTTTCTATCAGTTTGCTGTAGGGATGGCCGTATCAATGGCGTATCAATTGTTTGAGTTGAGGATCCGTTGAGTTTGCGTTGAGATTATATTTCTCATCAATGGACTCAACTTTGTCGTACACAATGTAAAGATTCAAACTATTTACGATAAGATCCAACAACTTTTTTGTTTCTTTTTCAACTTGTGAAGCTTATAAATATGCCAGTCTTCTGTTTAATAAAGCGTGTGAATTTAAGCTTTATCTTACTAATATTATAAATACGAATTTTGAATTTAAATGGATGGATGGATGGATGTTAGCTTGAAATTTTGCACAGATGTAGAACATAGTTGGAAGAATACATAGGCTAATCATTAAGTTTTTTTTACTGCGCGCAGACGGAGTCGCGGGCGACAGCTAATACAAATAAGACTTGGTAACTAACCCTAATTACTCTGAATATTTTTGGTAACCTAAAAAGTCTATTAGTTGATTTTGTACTTAATCTACACTTAGGCCCTCCCTTATTAATCATTATTGACTCAAATTGGCAGTACATCAATCGAATTTCTACTGCTGAAACAAAGACTATGTCTTGCAACATAGATGTTTACAGTGAAAATTTACGGCTATGGATTCACTTGCGAGATTTTTATTAGTCTTAAGATTCGAAGAAATAAACCATTCTTTGCAATTAAATATGGCGTAACATAGTTCCGATTCGTTGTCTTTAACTTTTGAATTTCGAATAGAATCTAACAAAGGTTATTCGTTTATTTTTAAAGGCCTTTACATATCGAACTTCCTGGTTTTTCATTCTGTTATTCGAAACCTTTGTTTGAAAACATCGAACTCGATAGATTGAAAGAAAAACATTGATTTTGATTTATTCACAATCCTTTGCTCTAGTTTCAGTTATTTTTAGTGAATATCGAAAACTGTTCAATTGATTTCAAAACTATGAAAGCATGAAATAACTTTTAATAAAATAACGTTAGTTTAAAAATCTATGGATTGATTCTTATTGCTTGTTATAGCAATAATAAATTAATATTTTTTATCTGTGCCCGTAGTCATGAGTGGTAGTGTAAGCTAAATGTTGATCATCAGCTCACTATATGTCCCCACGCTGAGGGGCTCGGAGCCTTCCCCAAGTTAGGGGTGACTAGGTCTTAGTCAACCATGCTGACCCAGTGTGAGTTGGTTGACAAAACTAAATGTTATCTGTGATGAATTTCTAATCGAAATGTATAAAAGTACTGGCTGTTTTCCGCGACTAAGTCCGCGTGGGATTAAAAAAACTTAATTAGTAGCCTATGTGTTCTTCCAGATTATGTTCTACATCTATGTCGAATGTTTACTAAAAGCATTCTATTAAAATGTATAATTTTATATTACCCTATGGCAGACACGATACATCTTTCGAAAAATAGATGTCTTGGTAATATAACAGAATACTACGAAATGAGAATAGTTTAACGACATTTACGCAGACTGGTTGATATAAATTGCCGTTTAATCCATTCATATGAGCGTTTGCAATAAAATTGTAGCTGGCCCACGTTTCCCGTACGTGGAGAGGAATGTGTTACCTTTTTCACGCTTAGATGTTATTACTCTAGACGTGACGTCACACGGCAACTATTATGTGACCGTCTTTGTGATATTCCCCTTTATGCAAATAAAATACGTGTCTTCTTATTTTCATATTAACTATCGGCAAAACAATTATGTTACTAATGTTATATGCGAATATTGGATAGATGGATGGATAGATGTTTGATAGAAGATATCTCTAGAAAGGCTGCATGTAACCTGCTGCTATTTAGCACAGATTTAGAATGTAATCTGGAAGAACACAATTCAGTTATTTTTATGATTACGCGCGAAATCGCGCGTTCACAAAACATTAAAAGCTTATAATTTTTTAATAGTCGGCGTTACAAATTAAATAGTTACTTAAAAAGGTTACACATGTGCCTTTTTGACTTTTTCTTTTTTTGTCTATATATCAAATTAATATAAAAAGTTGGCGGCACTGTGCGTCACATTTGACTGTCATCCGTCATTCCGTCAACATGTTATTTTGGATAATCGATTATATAGAAATAAAATATTTTAATATCGTGGTTAAAATAGCATAGGATAAGATTGCTATTTTTGGTCAGAATGATTTAAAATAATGCTTCTTTTTTAATTTGTTATTAAAAGGTGAGTTTTCATAAATTTATGTAAAACTAGCTGTCGCCCTCGAGTCCGAACGCACGGAAAAATAATTAAATAGTAGCCGATTATCAGACCTACTCAATATGCATATAAAATTTCATAAATATCGGACAAACCGTTTTGTCAAATATGGTAACTAACATTGTGACACGAGAATTTTACATACGCTTATTATATAATACATACATAGGAATTAAATCACGTTGAAAAAACAGCGAAGTAGTGGGAGAATTGATAAAATACTATTACCATTATTTTCTTGGAAACAACGAAAGAAAATACGAAGAAACTTTTTTTTCAATTTAATTAGTATCGAAGCGAAAATACTTTCTCGAATAAGGGAAGTGAAAGGAATTTTAAATAAAAAATGTTTTGCTATTCCAAAACGTTGATTATCTTGTTTATTTAAAAACTTTACTTTTTAATTAACATTGTTGAATTTTGTATCTAAATTTGTTAAGAATTTGATCCCACGTGAATCATTAAAGAACAAAAATATCTTAAAGAAAAATACTTTATTCTGGAAATTACGGATTTAGACGGAATTCTGAATTTAGAGTCAATTAGATAGGTGCTAAATTTAATCAACATTTGCGATTTGAAGACGACCCTACTCGTTTAAATGAGTTAAGTTATGCGTCCATTGGCCCGCGCCGGACGCACGCACTCACGGTCCGCAACAGATTGTTTGTTGATAAACGCAGCGCCATGCAAAATCATACAAAGCAAACTAAAATGCTTTGCGGGCCGTGCATGCAGTGCGTCCGGCACGGACCAATGTACATTGGCCTTTAACATAAAGTTAAAACCTGATTAGTTTTACTTCTATATTAGATGATCTTCGTCTTCGTCGTCACTATCACGAATCGTGGGTTTTCACTGCCGAAAAACTTGTATAATAACAGATTGTTTATGCCGTACGATATATAAAATTGACAGAGGATATTTATTAAACTTATAGGTAATTTTTAACAGAATCATGCTGAGCAAGAAGATGATCGTCGCTGTTGCCGTGGTGTTGGCTGTGATCTGCCTCGCCGAGGCGCGTGAAGAGGGTCCCCACGATATGGCAGACGCACTCCGCATGCTGCAGGAACTCGACCGCTACTACACGCAGGCTGCTAGACCAAGGTACGTGTATACTTAATTGCAAAATTATTGTCCCTTCAAGAAAAAAAAGGTAGGTTTGATTTGAACTTTTAGAACATGAAAAAATATTTTCTCCAGATAATATTATCTTGACATTATAAAAGACCACAATACAATTGGACCCATACAATAATGTCACAAAGGTGTGTAGTGTCGTATATTATTTAATTGTGTTGATTTACTTTTTCTCGGTAATTCACAGTTGTAGAATAGCTAAAAACTTTAATGTAACTTTAAATTAAACAACTAGAAATCTTTTAAACCCTATTAGATTGAAATTTACTAGAGTTTCTCTGCTCTTTATTAACCTGTGCAGAATTTCTTACAAACATAACCAAAATGAAATACTAAATAACTCTGTAATAGATAAAAATAGTTAATATTCCCGATGCTCCGCAAAGCTGTGAACATTTAGGGCTTATGTAGGCAATGTCTGAAGATATATTATGTTAGTGTTGCGCAGGTATGTTCAATTTAGATGTTACGTATACCAATATTCCATCTCCATATTTTACCATTTGCAAATTACTCTTGTCTTCTCTTTGATAAATTATTCTCGAGAGATGAATTACTTTTGTATCCCATTATTTTTGGTCTTTTGTGTATTCATTTATTAATTTTGAAAGATGATTTTTTTTAAGAAAATTATTTTATTGTGAAATAAAATACTGGCCACATCTAGTCCATATAAAAATTACGATAAGTGAAAAAAGCGTTTTTATGGATGAATTCAAACGATTAATTTTATATTGGGTCACTAAATCGTATATTTACGCTGATTTAATCTAATCGTAAACGAGCCACTGTAGGTTTCTGAAACCAAAATTCCCTTTAAAACATATTGTTATCTTTATTTTTTCAATTGACAGTGATAACAAATTTTGACCTAATGCAAAAAATTATTAATATTTACACTTTTTTATTATCGTACTTTAAAACAGTTAAGTAATTTTCAGTATTATTGATTCTATATTAGGTAATATAAATAAGTTAAAGATGTACGGCAAAAGAAATTTGCAGATAAAAGGAATTACAAGATATATTTTTTTTAATATTTTCTGTGCGGCGACATTAGAAAGAACTTAAGGCGACGTAGGCGTTATATCAAGAAGAGTAGATTGCTCTCACTGATAATGGCGTTTGGATGGTCGCCAATATTCAAGTATAATAATAAGATACAAATTTCACACCCAACCTTGTATATAAAAGATTTATTATAATATCATAGGAAGTAATTATCTTTTTTTATATCATAAGGTAGCAAACGAGCGAGCGGCCACCTGAAATCGTTGAAATAGCAAAGTAACCTTTCCCCATAGACATACGCAATTGCATATGCGTTGCCTACCTTTAATCGACGGAGGAGAGGATGCAAAGAAAAAAAAATTCTTCCCTTTCCATGTATCCTCTCAACCGGGAAGTCCACTTCCGCTTCCCATCCTTTCCTCTTAAGAAAAAGGGTGGGAAGGGAAAGAGGATTAAATTAGGCCTCCGGGATGCCCACTTCCGCTTGACGCCTGTCTTCTGTGTGATCGTGGTATTTCACCGGGCGAGTCGGGACAATTCGTACGAAGATGTTAAAGCGGGCTCTACCAATGTTAAATCTTATCTTACATTTACAGTATGTATTTTAGTATCTGTATATTACGTATAATTTATAGTTGCGATTGATTTCTCATCAATAGATTCTGTATGACGAAATAAATACAAATTTTATCAGTTTTTATAATAGAAGATATTTGCAACAGTAATTAGACTATTTTTTTAGGTATATTGAACTTTTTTACCCATCGTTGAGAATTGTAAGTGCATCATTAATAAATATCTAGAATTTTACGTACATAGACCTACGTACGTGGCTTGTGAAAGTACCAACACCCCGAAGCGACTCTATAACGAAACAATGACGTTGCTTATTGAAACTTATATCTATACATTTTTGAAGTTTCCTAGGTACTCTAGTTGTTTCTTCTTCGATCCAATTATCGCGTGACTATAATACGTCTTGTTATTGTGCATTCATCACACGTTACCGTGTACAAAGGTGGGCAGATGTTTCGTAATTTTCACGTACCCGTTCCTATTACGTCCTACATGGCCGACAGGTCAACAGACAAGATAAGACCCGACGTCACGAGCAAGATTACACCGCTAGAGTTGAATCGTAAACGTCCCACCGTATGACTTGCAGTTGTAAAAATAATTTCTACACGTTTCTAATTGGTTACTTGAATTCAATATTAACGTTTTATTTGATACTTTTATATAATTGTTTAATTATATTGGTATAACTTCGGTTCGATGTGTGCATTACTAGACGTAACTATGTCTAGGGTTGCCAGGTCGCCAAACCAGACAGACTAGTCAGTTTGGCCGGACATTTCTGTAGAAAACCCAGACGCTATACATTATTGAGGATTTTGTTTTAGTATTAAGTACGACACTCTCGTTTGCGAAATGTAAAAAGCCTAACAAAAGCCGGACACCGTTTATTTTGGCCGGACACGTAATCAAAACAATTGTTTTTGTCCGGCTTTTTCCGGACGTCTCGCAACGCATACTGCGCATATTATCTTTATTATGTTACAATATTAACTACGGTATGTTATCTTCTCATATTTCAAAAATATTTTAAGAGAAAAATAAAGTTAGATCTAACATTTCTTTTTTTAAATAGTATTGGAATGACTATATCACAAAGTAAACATAGTTTGTAAAAACTTTTCTACAAACATGATTCGATTTCGTTTGTATCAAACAAAAAGCTTACAAACGCGAGTGTAATAAAAGTTTGCCATGTTAAACTGTTTAACGCTAATGCAATGTTCAAAGGGGAAGACAGTTATGTCGGGCCACCAGCCAACTTCGCAACTCGTTACGTGCCTTGACATATTTCTTATTTCAGTTTGATGTAACTGTAACAAGCATTCTGTTTGTTTGTCTGTACTAATATTATAAAGATTTTGCTTGTTGGTTTCAAATCGAATGTCGTCAATGTAAGACTCTAATGAGGATATAGATTCTATCTTAAGTTAGTCTGGGCTAAGCCTTATCGTATTGGCCCAGTGCGATTTGTTTCGAATAAATTCGATCAACTAGTTAAACGAAAAAAGTTACTATTATTCTGTTTATCTTATGGTAAGTTTTCACTGGTTTTTAAAAGAGAATAAGATGACGATTCTTACAGTGGAAACCTACTGTTAAAGTTTTGAATCTTGAAAATTAAATGATTCGTTCTCGGGAATAATATCACGTTGCACTTTTGCATTCAAAAAGCATTGTTCGGATAATGCTGCAACAGTGGAACTAACTTTTAAAAGATTTGTACGTGATAAGATTTAAAAAATTGATATTATGCAAGTAATAAAAGTAGCGATTTAATACTGTGATGATTTATTCATAAGTTCAAAACGTTTATAAACTCTTGCTTTATAACTGGATTTTTCGCTTTATTTCTAATAGGACTATAGTCGATGTTGGATACAATTTAAAAAACCTATATTTAGGTACTGATAGGAACATAATCCGACACTATGCCGATGTATCGGTGCAACACTAGCCTTATTAAAATATCAACGTTTATGTCTCCTCACAAATCAATCTGACACTTGACTTGGTAACAAAAGCGCGCCATTCTCACCAAATGATTCTTACTAATTAACGCCTAAAAGTACAAATGTCTAAAATGGATTAATTTAATCAATTATTAATCAGCCTTTATTATTCTTTGAGCCTTTTCATCAATGCTTTAAATATCAGGTACGTATTTTTAGACATTATTAGTTAGAATCATTTGACGCGAATCACGTACTTTCATTACAAAGTTCAGTGTCAAAATGAATAGTTTGGGGATACAAACGTCGACATTTTAGTAAGGCTAGTTGAGTCAATACACTGGCTCATTTTCTCCTTCTTCCTAACAGTATAAAGGTAGGTATGTAAGTACTAGAAAAATCTCGGAACTTGACTTAAATAATGATTAAAGTATTATTTTATTTCGTTTTTGTAACAAGATTACACATTAATGAAATGAAATCCCCACCGACTTACCGTCGCCAGTCGCGTAATAATGAAAGACCAAACGAACTTATGCAAACACTTTGTCAACTTTAAGCATTTTTAACGGGCTTTTTAAATTATAGAAAAAGTGAAAATTCAATTTTGTCTGCTTTGAGAACGTTTCTTTTGAGACAAGCATCTGGTAAAATTGATGAAGAATATTATTATTTATGCATTTTTGAAATTAAACTATTGTTTTTGAAAAAAATTTAAGCCATACATTGATTTTTACTTATTGTCGAAGATGAGCTGCTATTCCCAAGAATGATTCATAGGATTTTTATAAAAATAATTTAGTTATTCACAATACATTATTTAAGCTAAAATACAATTTTATTTTAACAAAGAATTTACTATTGTAACAATATTTCATTTGTTAAAATTTAATCGACTATAAAAATCAGGGAGAAAGAAAATTATACTCGACAATATAAGTAACCTTAGTATATAAGTATATACATTTACATATAACAGAATCTATTTCTTTTGTTAGATACGATATTTATTGAGAAAATGTTTTTCATTTATCTAGAAATTAATCATTAGTACAGTTACTGTGATATTTATTTTATTTGTTGCTTCATAAAATTTAAAATCATATTAGAGATTATATTAACTTTATTTTTATTTCTAAGGAAAGTAAAGATAGGGAGCCTTTTAAATGTCTTCAATTTTAATTCTTTATTCCTACACAACGCATAAGACTGTACAAAGTATAAGATAGGAATATACTTTTCCTATGAAATTTTATTTAAAGAATAGCTGTCGCCCGCGACTCTGCCCGCACACAATTAAAATAAATACTTAAACCATTAGTGCATAACGTTCGATAAATCGGACGCCAATAAAATTGTTATTTTAGGAGTTATATATATTTTACTAACCGTTTATTTTTTAAACAATAGTGTATATATATTTGAAGTGGTAATACTGTTGGTATGACATTCCGGGAAGCGATCTATCGGACGGGCTATAAAATCTAAACTTTCATATTGATTAAATATTTTATATAATTTAATGGTCAAATACACTCGAAATGAAAATATATTAAAGTAATTATAATGAAAAAGGCGTTAATAAACTTTATGCACTAATTTTAATAAGTAGCCTAGTAAGAAACAGTTCCAGACTATCTTCTACATCTATATACCATCTAAACATTCGTATTTGTGATACAAGTAAGCTTTACTAAACGTAATATCTTTGTATATTACAATTTTGGTGTAGACAGTGAATCGGTTCATACAATCGATATTAATTAGGGTACGGACATAAACCGCTGGGCCAGCGGTCTGTGTATCCAATACCTTATTGTTTAGACTAGTCAGCGAATATATATGCAAATAAATGAGTACGGAACGTGTGTGGGTGCTCTTACAATTTACGAAGTAAAGAGAAATTATTTTTGGAGATGGATAAAATAATCTAAATATAAGAAAATAATATCATTGAACTTTTATAAGTATAGAAGATCAAACTTATAAATAACTAAATGTCACCAGCGATTCTGTCCACGCGGAATTAAAAAAAACTTAGTAGCCTATGTTCTTCACAGTTATGTTCTACATCTATACTGAATTTCAGCGAGATCCATGCAATCGTTCCATACATACCTTCTAACAGACATCCATCCATTCAAACATTCGAATTTTAAGATTACTGTTAAACCGTAGTAATTTAAATAGGTATATAAATTGTTAATCACATTATTTTTACTTGATATTAAATTAATGTTTTTTGCTACCTATACGCAATGCACGTCCAGACCATTTTAACCTTGTTGCTATAACAAATTATAATCGCTTGTACAAACTTTCAAGAATAACGTAATAATACTGTAGAATGCTAGATGTTAAGGATGCAAAACTTTTACTTGGTAAATAATAATAACATCGTCATCATCATCATACTCAGCCTAAACTTGTCCACTGCTGGACGTAGGCCTCCCCCATCGATTGCCACAATGCCCGGTCCTGTGCCGCCCGCATCCAGTGCACTGCCGCAACATTGATCAGGTCATAATAATAAAAATTACACATAATTGTAGTTAGAAGTGTAGAGCGTAATTTTATTTACATTCCAATTCTGATACTGAATATATTGTGACAATGTCCTCTTCACATTGTTAAACAAACCACTTCAACGGTATTACGCTCGCCTGCATCGACTAATGAGTTGCCGTACTGCCCTAATTATTGCCTATTAACGATGCGTTATGCTATTTGTGGACTGTTAATGGGTATCAAGCTTTGTATTACGTAGGATGGGATATGTTATTTTTGGCTGAAAATAATCTTTTTTGTGGTTGTATTTATGTGTATTTCAATGTAACTGCGTGTATATAAACCGAATTTAATTATCAGGTCATTCTGTTCGTATTGATAGGAGTGTGATAGGTATAGTTAGGTTTGTTTAAATGAAAAATCTTTGATAGTAGTGATTAGAAAATTGCAAATCACCAATGATAGAAATTAATGACAGGACATTGGGATGATTGTGTTGGGAGTTGGAAAGAAATGGTTTGGAACGGACGTCCGGACGGAGAAATGGACGTTCGTGGCTCTGGGTTTAAGCAATCTGCAGATCCTGGGTTCGAATTTCACCATAAGCCAATGTGATTTTCGATTATCGATTTACATATGTACAGTTATCCGACGTTTTTACGATGAAGGAAAACATCGTGACACCTGCACATATACGCGAATAAATTCAAAGATATGTGTGAAGTTAACCAACCTGCATTGGATAGACTGTGGCCTAATCATCCTCCTCCGAGCTCCTCAGTGGAGATTTATAGAGAGCTGATGATTATATAAATCAATTCTTAAACAACGTTAAAGAATAAACGTATTATAAAATAGAGTTATAGCTAGATAACATAGATAACCTACACGCCTTCAAATTTATTTAGTTGAATGTTCGTAATTTGTCGTTTAGTTACAAAATGTTTGATCGTTGTCCTCTTCCCTTTAAATTAGTATACTAGATAATGTTATCACACGTTATACTGACACACTCAAAGACCGTTTAGATTAGATTATTGTAAAACAAACGGTGCTAAACTAATTACGCTTTATATTAAACGTTGACAAACAAGTCAACGTCAATATGATAAACTAATTTTAAAGGTGACTCCAAACTTAATTAGTAGCTTCGCTCTCTGATCCCTCTGAATACATTAAAACTGAATTCTTTGCGATAAAAATTTATAGGTAACAATTAACGTACTTTCAAGTTTTTAATTAAATAATTCGTGACAGCAAATAAATGTGTATTTGATCAGAATTTTCATTGAATTTGAAATGGTGTTCTTTTTATTTCTTAATTATTATTTTTAAGATAATTTAGTAGAACAAATGTATAATATTATGTCGGTCTATACAGTAGAGTTTTTAAATGCGACGTTTTTATCGCGTAGTATTCTATTTTAAGCTTTGGATGAAGGATATAATAGTGATTTTAAAACATTCATCACTAGAGACTCGCCAATGCCGAGTTTTAACGCGCCGTAAAAAAAAGCTTCTATGTAAATGCGCTCTTACAGTTTTGTGTTTGATTATTATCCACTATTAACCACTATGGACGATATATGTAGTGAATATACATCAGTAAATTCATTTGTTTGTCAATGTGTCAGCTTTCTACATTGATGGATTAAATTGAAGCGCGGTGAATAATTTAGATGCGCACCGAATTTGGTACTACATCGTGTTGACAACTGTAATCAATAAATATTTCTTATTTTATTCTGATTTATTTAGTTAGGTATGTGAAGTAATAAAAAGACGTAAAAGCTACAATGTTACAAGAAATATTCGCTTCAATGGTCAAATTATGTATTAAAGAACTTTTTATCTGAATCGTGCGATATTTACGTTGCCACAACGTATCTTGGTCGTGTCCAACTTTGATATATCGAAGCGTAGTGATGTGATATGTTATATCATTATCGATATTGGCAGGATTGACCGCCGCGACGTCGCGGACGGGGATCGCGTCGACCCAGACTTGTTAGATCGCGCGGTGCGGCTACTGCAGCTGCAGAATCTAGACCGCATTTACTCCTACCACACCCGACCAAGGTACGATCGATGTATGCCCATCCCTACTCCCTTAGTATCGATATCGCGACGCACGTAACTCCCGCATGAAGTTCTCTGTACCTTTTTCTTGATGTTAGATCTTTGTACAATACTGTTAAACTGTGTATGCGTTTTACTTTGATAAATAATCGTTATTTGAAATAATTTATTAATAATTACGCGTTTAACGTTTCTTGGATTTTAAAAACGATATTTAAGTGCATGTTAATGAAGTGTTCCAGAGAAAAAAAACTTTTTATTTTATAGAATCTGTCGATTTAAATGAGGTATTAAAAATATTTCTAGTTCAAGGCATTTAGGATTCAAATTGAATTGTTAAGTTACATTGTAATTACGATCGATCTAAGTAAAGCTTATGTTTTCTTCTCACAAGGTTTTTGTTCGCGAGCCATCTAATTTATTCCATATCAATTGGTTGAAGAGTTTTTATAAAAAGTTTAATGGTTTTTAATTTAAGCTAGAACAAACGATTTTCTTACTCACGTTATTAATATATAGAAGACAAAATCTATACCAATTAATTAAGGTGGTTTTTACTATCATAGCAATTTTACGATTGGCATTTTAGTAATTATTTGTATATCAGTGTTCAAAGTACAGTCGTCAAAGTTCCTAATTTTATGACTCAAAGCATAAAATAAAATACGACATTGTTCTACGGCAATTATCTTAGAGTCACAATTATTAAAAGCGTCAATAGCCTAATGGTTAAGGGTACGGATTTCCGTTCGCGAGGTCGGGGATTTGAATCCCGCCATTCGACTATTGTCGTAAACCATATACTATCACAAGCCTAGAACTTAGTTGGAATGGTAAAATAAATATTAGTAAATTTACAAAAAAATCTGCTAAAATAAGAAAAAAAATCTATGTAAAAAAGACTTGATTGGAAAATAATAGGTAAATGTGTTTGATATAGCCTTAATTAAATTTGGATATTTTAATGGATCTAAGCTGTTGTCCACTTTGACTACAGACAATTATAAATTGAGTTGTATCAATGAAGATTTTGTGATACCGTGTGATGACTCGGATGGGCTCCGAGCCTCAAGGACACTATACGTCTCCACTGAGGGGACTGAGAGTAGAAGTGATGATGATGATTTGAGTTTATATTATTTTTCTTTTGTTTTATTGATTATTAATAAAAGTGTATGGCCATCACGTAACATTGTTATACTTTTGTTCACAGGTTTGGCAAGCGCTCCGAAGCCTTCACAAACTGGGCTAAGGATCAGGAAGTAAGTTGTTCTTCTAATATTATAAATGAGAATATTTAGATGGATAGATGGATGTTTGTTTGAATGTGTCTCCAGAACGGCTGGATGGATATCAGTAAAATTTCGCATAGACGTAGAACAGAGTCTGAAAGAACACATGCTACTAAGTATTTTTTTATAATTCAGCACGGACGGAATTGCGGGCGACAACTAGTAGTAGAATAAAATAAACAAGGAGTGTCACTTGATGTTCAGTATCACTACCCAAATGTTTATGTCAGTGTTACTAATAGTTTAAGATGAAGAATAAAAGACGAATAGAGAATAGGAAAGACGAGATTTTCTTTTTATGAAGCTAAATAAACAAAGGTCGCTTTCCTTTATACCTAACGTTTCCATAAAACTATAGGCTCTCGCCTTCCAAACATAAGCCTTAGTTTATCGACTAATAACAGTTTACCCCAAATCATGTTCTTTGTTAAAAACTACTTTGGTCTTTTGTTAAGAAGATTAAATGGTTCATAAAATACTTTGTTGTTATTTTATGACCGTAAACAGTAGTTTTAGTAGCTATACCAAAATAAACTTACGATAGAGTTATGAATAACTACGTTATTAATAAAATCTATACATATTGATGGAGTCTGGATTTAACTAGTTTGGATATACATATTAGTTCATGTTGTACCTTAACTTTTATCTTGTACTGAATAAGGAACAATATTTACAGTCTTAAAATAATTCAGAAAACCTTTCGAAAGAGTCTTTCTAGAAAAGTCTCTTCTCTAATTTTACATATTCCAAGTTATGCAAAATCCATTAAAAAATTCCTAAATGACGTATTGCTAAGATAATAAAAACGTATTGATTAGATCAACAGTTTTGAAAGACTTATATTGTATTATATGTGTGTCAAACTGTTTTCTATTTATCCAAATTATGCGACTAATTAAAATTGTCTCTCTCTCACTCCCTAGCTTGCTTCCCACAAGGTGGTGGGTTCAGCTTTCCCAATCCGTCTCTTACACTTTGCTCTGTCCATGACATCTTCTTCTGAAACTTGGCACTCACTCATGTCTTTGACTACATCTTTTTATCTCATTTTGGGTCTGCCTCTGGATCTGCGACCAGGGAGGGAAAGTGGTGGGCCGTGGACGAGAGCGAAAGCGTGCCCGTGGACCCGTCCCGATGCGTTGGAGGAACAGAGGGGTTTAGTGGGTATGCCTCCGCTATGGAGGAGAATCCTACATAACTACCGCGTCCCCCCGGGGCGCGGAGTATGCATAAAGCATTCCCCTCTGAAAAAAAAGGGAGGGAAAGTTGTAGTGCTAAATTACCGACGTAGTCATGCGTCCTCCTCCTCCTCCTACTACTTAAAATTGTCTATTCTGTATATTTATAAAAGCTATTATCATTTTTAATTTCATTAAATTATATATTAGCACTTTTGAAAGCTTTTATTCCATCTTGAATATTAATATTCAATTAAATAATTCATATTAATTTCTATGTTAAAATGTAGATCAGTTCTGTCATATCTTTTGCGACTTTATTAAAAACGCCTTCGTTGAATAAATATTATTTTTACTGATATTGTATAGGTAACATATTTTATATGACTAATATTGCATTGAATTTCACAATCGCAAATCCATATTGTAAAGTTCACTCGAGACTGTAAAATCGTATAATATGAAGCAGCTTTGAATATTACGGCCATATTCTCATATCGTACGTATCTTGGATTTACGTGCGTCCTTTTATGACTTCATATTGACTATTAAATGGTCTACAAGCATATTTGAAATGGTAATAATAATGGACCTACATATTAAGAAAGTAAATCCTATTGTCGCGTTCAGCTCGAAATTGAGTCTTAGTAAACATTATTGGTTTTATAATATAGTACGCTAAAACTTATGTGACAATTGTATTTTGTATGTTTATACTTTAAAAGACTCATTGCTAGAATAAGGTCGAATTCTGACGGCTGATAGAGATGTATGGAGGCAGTAGATATTGTGCCTAACCTACGTGGTGATAAGAGCAGGTTGATGATGATGATGATGACGAGACTCATTGCTAGAATGTAATCTGCGGAGTTGATGGGTACATAATTAATTTTAGACATTATTAGTTAGAATCATTTAGCGCGAATCAGCTCACTATACGTCCCCACCGTAACACGTAAGGGTGATTAGGCCATAGTCAACCACGCTGGTCAAGTGCGGGTTGGTTGACTGCACACATGTCTTCGAATTTCTTCTCAGATATCGCAATCTTCGCATCGCAAGAAAGTCGGATAAATGTACATATGTAAATCGGAAATCGGAAAACGCATTGGAACATGATGGGATTCGAACCCAGGACCTGCAGATTGCAAGTTAATTGCTTGACCCCTGAGCCACCGTCGCTCTGAGGAATCATCAGAATTTAATTAAATTAAATTTATTTATATTGCTAATGATTCACTATTATCAGTTCCTGTTCGTTTGATTAACTTGTCTCTTTTCCTTCCAGAAGCCGGACCTACCGGCGTGGTTGACTTACGCCCGGAGGAGATGAGTGCAGCGAATCAACCGGCGTCATAACTAAACATTCTATTACTATTCTATTACGTCAATCTACCGGACTCAAACGCTAACATTTAAGGGACTTGTTTTATCTTTAGATTTTTCTTATAAATAGTCGTAGATTAGATTTCAATTCATCGTTAGTGTTCTTTTATGTTCTTTTCTATTTTAATATATTTCAGTAAGAATGGCCTTGGTTATAATTTTCTTTTAAACAGTATTTAGCTACAGAAATATTCATAGACATAATTTGAATTGGAGAATAATTTTATAATCATGTTATTGTTCATATATGTTACAATATTTATTCTAAAGATTAAATGTCATTGTAATGTTATCAGTAATAAATGCAATTGAGAAAACGTAACGATAAGAACTTGTTTTATTTCAAGCATTTAATTCCAACCCTGAGTCACTTAACATCACTTAATGCCCGTAGTTTTTTTTTTATATCAGAGGGTGACAAACGAGCGAGCAGCCACCTGAAATCGCTGAAAAAGCGAGATGACCGTTGCCCATAGACATACGCAATTGCATATGCGTTGCCTACCTTTGATCGACGGAGGAGAGGAAGCGAATGAGGAAAGTCCACTTCCACTTCCCATCCTTTCCTTACAAGAAAGAGTAGGCCTCCGGGACGCACATTCATCAGACGAAACGCGGAATTGCTTCCACTTCACGCCTGTCTTCTATGTGGTCGTGGTATTTCACCGGGCGAGCAGGGCCAATTCGTGCGAAGACGTTATAGCGGGCTCTACCACTGTTAACTGTAGTGTACTATTCCTTTAATTCGCATTGAATATTGCAATCTGTATATCACTTAGTTGTTGTCTTTTTATACTACTGGTTTAAAAAAAAAAAACTACAATCGAGCGTGGATAAGCGAGAGACCAAGGGACCGAGATATTTATCTTGCTTATAGAGGTATGTGTAGAAGCCGAGTTTCACGCTTATGAAGGTCGTCCGCGACCAGACAATGACTCTCGCTTATAGATATCTCGCTTATTCAGTTTCAACTGTGTGTTCTCATATACTGTTTTGTTTTAAGTCTTCTACTTATGGGAATAAAAAAAATCTCTGTTCTTTACTTAGTATATTTATCCATTCTATTAATTATTTTGTCAGTACATCAATATAAATAAACGGCTAGCTTAAATCGTAAGCATAAATATTTCAAAGGTTGTTTAAATACTAAAGATAGGTTGTCTTGATTTGTTTAGAAATCGTGACACGCGACGTGTTTTTACATTTCAAATTGACAAGAATCTTCTGCATAAGCACCTAGTTTATACAACCGTTCACTTAATTTATATTTAAATACTTATGTACTATTTAAAATAAGAATAAAAGTTACATTAATCATAAACAATAATTGTATTTGTGAAAATACATTAAAAATGAAATGATTATATCATAAAAAGTTGCCAAAAGAAATATCGAAATATATTTAAGTGAAGAAGAGACAGTTTACAGTTATTTATACGTATAAATTATAGGGTCTAATTCTATACAGACAAACATAATGAGGAAAGGAATGAAATTGTAAATTCCAAGTATGGAGATGACCTTAAGCATTGTATCTTCTCTAATATTGATTTTCACGCTAAACACGATTTGACTAGATTATTTAAAAAATCCACTTTAATCATTATCAATAAGTTTTATACTATGATTTACAATTTCAGGAAAAGACGTAAAACAACTAGACAGCTACAATAAGACTACCATTATACAAAAGACGATAGACGGATGGAAATTCTGGGGGCAATTAGCATTAAGTTAATCTAAAAGTTCTAATTCATAAGTATGCTAAAGGGTTAAATACTAAGAAGGATAGAATAGGATAGGATTAGAAGACCATCTAATAATTTAAATTTGGCAACTTTAAGAATGTATTTACACGTAATTGTAGTTAATACATTGTAACTTTAAAGGAATCTTATGTGGAACATTTACAACCACTTTATAAAAGACTTTCTTGAATCTAAGAGACCCCGCACTTTGTAATGCTAGACCAAACTATCGGGCAACTGAAAGTCTCTAATGTGCAGGGGCTCTAATTCACAGTCAGTTTTAATTTTTGCTTTCTGGCGGTTCTTTCTAAATTTCTCATGTTAAATTTTTAACTACAAAGCCCTTAATATTAAATTTGGCATTCTGAACTACGACAATTTTCTAATTTTAATGTTATATTAAGTGTCCGTTGTAATCTAAATTAACTAGAGGCTTTGAGCAATAAGATACATTCAAATATTAAGTCACAGCACATTCGTCACCAGCTTGGCTATTGAAATTACTCCAAAATTATTTACACCACTTTCTTCATTTACCATCTAAAGTATTGATTCAATGAGTGCTTTTCATTCTAATAAATATCGCCGAATTAGTTGTTTTATAGGAAATTTGCGACTTACATACTTATCTATAAATTTTATTAATTAATGGTAAAATTAATAAGAGAATGTTATAAAAATATTCACTGAAGTCTTTTAAACTTACTAATTACATAACAGTTATGTTTATAAAGAACGATTGTCATTTTGTGTAAGATTTGACACAATATTTAACCTGTTATTTATTTGTAGTTTGCCTTCAATTTTTGTTATTCCTGCTTCATTTCCTTCCTTAAGAAGTTCCCAAAGATGGTTTTTATCTAGAATTTCGTAACCTTCTTTATTTTCTGGTGCTATGTCGGTCTTGACATTTTCAGCTAAAGATTTAGAAGTTTCAGATATTGGTGTTGGAGGTATTTTGTGTATTTCTTTATTAATAGATTTCAAAGTTTTTGTTACAGCTTTTTCAATGACAGCTGGTTTAGGTTTATTTTTGGATATTTTTACGTATGTTTTATTGTTTTCTTTTAAGTCAATATCTGTGTTATTCAATTTCATGTTTATACGAGGTTTTACAATTTGTGTAACGGGTTTTGGCTTTTTGGTTTTATAATGCATTGTCTGTATATTACTTTTTGTTATTGCAGCAATTGTATGAGGTATGGCAGTAGTTTCTTTGTGCGCAAAACCTGTATCGTTAGTTACATTTTTGATAAAATTGTTGATTGTTAAAATATTATTAACCTTTGAAGTTGAATTGTTCTCATCTTTAAAGTCAGTTACATTTTTTAGATGGCTAATTTCATTTTTCATATGAATTTTGGAGGAATTACTTTTTTTCAATATTTTGATGTCCACGTGATGTGTTTCATTATTAGTATTTTCGTCTTTTGACTTAATAAAGAATTTTTCTTGTTTATCTCCGTAAGTAGCTTTAAGAGTTCCTTTGCGTCTTGTCAAAACTTTTTTCTTTGCTTCTTCTTTTTTGGGAAAATATTTTGGTAGTTTATTAGCATTTACTTCCTTTGTGCCAACTATTAACGGTTTCAAGTGATTATCAAGAGTTTGATTATTTATATTAATAGTATCATTACTTTTTATTGAAGAATCACTGGTTTTGTTTAAGTAATTACTTATTGTATTCGTCATTAAGCTGTTGGAATCATTAACAATCGGTTTAATTGTTGTAGCTGGTGATGTTGTTAGTGACGTTATGGTAGTACGTTCGGTATCCTTGTATTCAGAGACTGTAACAATTTCAATTATTTCAGCATGACTGTCATTTGTTTTGAAATTAAGTAGAGTATGATTAGTTTCATTTTGCTTTCTAAATTCATAATCTCTACTGCATATTCTTCCGCATTCACAGATGTTATCAATACTTGCTGTAGTCGTTAGACTTGCGATTTCAGTTTTATCAAACCAAGTGATAAAGTCATCATCAGTGATGCCCCGAAGAAGTGGACTGCCAGGTCTTGCATGGAAGAATGTTTCGACAGCTAAATCTGGACGTGTTGAAGGATATATTTTTGCAAATGCAGGTCGCAGGCTTGTTATGATGAAGTTTGACCGAGCTTCGTAGGTTACACAAACAGGGCAAGTTGAACTGATCTGTAACATGCAAAATAAAGCATAAGATAAGATATTAGAGTTTGCTGCAATCATATTAGTATCACTTACTCAGTACGTTTAATAAAATCCTTCCTATTGATATGTCAATGTTATATTAGATGTTATTTTTTTTCTATTTCGTAGTACTGGAAGTGTCATATAGCTTAAATATTCTGTTTTTATTTTATTTTTTATATCATATTTAACACTTACATTGGCGAAGACAAACCACACGGATTCCCCTCGAGAGCCATAATGCAGGTCTGCAAACGTTGCACCATCTAGCACCACAGGATTGACGGAGTGCAACTCATACCCGGAGAAGAGCGACGACTCTAGACGTAATATACCGGAACGCTCTTTTCCTTTCCACCTAAAAATAGCAACAACTAAATTACACATTACCAGAATAACATTCTAAGTTTCATAAATCTATTTTGAGCGAGAAACTTTTTTGGGTCTAACCATAAAAACCATAGACAGTGTTTTAATTATATCTTACCTTAAACATACGTCAATCATTCTATCGCTCGCTGATATTACCAGAAATCATGATTTATGAAATATGAATATCAGTAGACTTTTGAAATGCGATGTTGAAAAATACAAAACAAAGCATTTATACCGAAAGCAGCAAAAGCAATCAAACACAGATTGTCAAAAGGATAAATACTAGAACTTACTTGAAACATGTCTTGATAATTAATGTCGGTAGATTTCCTTGCAGGTCCTCTATGCTACTCCTTTCTGGATGAATTTCTTCGATGATAGCAGCTTGAATATTCAACAGAGCATTTTCAGCTTTAGGAGTATAAGTAGAGTACGATATTGTTCCCTGGAAGAAAAGGATATTTATAAACAAATGATAGTCTAAACAAATACCTTATGAAATGAATAACAAAGCTTTGATCAGACAAATATTCACCTGAACAGTAGCGCAGCCAGCGCCGGTGGCATAGACAAAAACTTTAGTCGGTAAACCAGGCAGCTGTAGTGGCCGAGGTGGTGTTTTAGCTCGTAGCTCCAATGTGTCAGTTAATTCCATACCAGCTGTTGCTAAAGATACAGTTAACGCTCTATGTCTGAAAGTACAAGGGTTATAAAACAATTATTTTAAAGTGTTGTCTTTAATTAAAATATGTCAAAATTGTATATTTTATTCACCTGTCATGAGCCAATGCGGCGTACTGGGCTGCAGCTTTAGTAGCGCTATATGCAAGGCTCGGGTGACGCTGCAATGTCGACGCTCTGTAGTACAAGAATCGGGCAGCCGCCTCGCCTTCAGCTAGAGCTCCGCGAGCGCACGCTGCCAGCAACACTCTTACACCAGCTACGTATTGTTCCATAGTTACAGCCTCTGTAAAAATACGTATTTATAAAAGTGATAAGGATTGTCTAACATATTCAAAAACTATCCCACCATATCTTTGAAAAAATATCATCTAACAGTTTTTTTAGTAAAGGATTAAATCTTACCGTACGATGTAGTTTTTATATTTCTAGATGTCTCTTCTAGAAGCCAATCTGCAGCATCTTTTCTCGGAGCTGGCCATCCGAACTCGCCTTCCTCAGTAGTTGAAGCATTTCTTAATATTGTTAGAGCTTCAGGAACAATCGGACTCCTGATATAAAAAGTTCATTTATAAGATTTTTATAACATCGCCATCTATTATGCCTAATTGGCATTATGCGAAAGCAACTTTTATAAATTAATTTTAACTTTTCAATCGACTGTCTATATTCTTAGTTTCTTATGCTATGAAAATAAATTAAATAGCTAGGTGTGTTCAGTTACAAATATTAAAGATCATGTTATTACCTTGCAAGTACGAGGGCTAGGACTGTAGCAGCAAGAGCAGCCGGTGATGTTAGATTGTAGATGTTCTTTTCCAAATAGGCTTGACTTTTCTTTGCAACGGTAACATCGAACTAAAAGAAAAATTGAAAACTTTCTTTACTAAGCAAAAATAACTAGCTGCCACCCAAGACTCCGTCCATTCATCATGAAATAATACTTAATTACTATTCTATATGTTATCCAGGCTATGCCAAATTTTAGCGAGATCTATTCAGCCATTCTGAAACCTTCTTCAAAACATCCATCCAATTTAGATTTATAATTATTAGATGAAATTGTTATGACTTAGACCAGTCTGTCGTTTAACTTAACTTAAGGGTACAGTAAAAAACTCAACAGTGTTCAATACCTCATTTTCAATTCCGACTTCAAGCAACGCTGCTAAAGTTTCAGCTGTTATTTCAACTTTCCTTTCGCTTTCTATTTCCTCGTCTGTCATATTTCCATCTTTATCATAATAATAATATTCATTAACTTCAGTTTCTGTGCCATTATTTTTCTTCATATCCAATGGATAATAATCCACTTCTTTATCAGCCGCTAAAGGTGAAAACGATCCATCAGCTTCTTGTCGCATTTGAATCCATTTCTTAATGGATTGCAGTAAATTGGGATCCACTGGGTAGTAAGATTGAATTTTTGTTAAGATTTCTAACATTTTGATTGTAGATAAGTGACTACTCATTGCTGGATGGTCGCTAAAAGAATTGTCACTTTTACGAAATGATAGTAAAATCTGAACCTGAAAACAAAAGGAAGGTATCAGTATGAATTTTAAATAAATCTTTTCAAAAATTATTGCATGTAGTGTATTTTCATTATTTACCTGTTCTGGCAATTTCTTTAAAATTTTCTCTCGCTCATTGTCTTCTACCAAGTGTGGAATGTGCTCTAAAGCTAACAGCGGTGCTAGACTAGCTGATGCTGCAGACAGCTGAGAGTCTCTCCACACTGCAGCCCATTGGTCAGCGGAATCCGTAAGCAGACTGTACAAAGGTAGATGAAGACCTCCTGACACGAGGAGAGTGCCGCTCGCGGATCCTGGTACAACGCCGTGAGGAAGACCGAGTTCGAGAACTTGGGAGAAGCCGGCTTCTTCATTAAAATTCCAAATTCTGTCGAAAAAAATCAATTAAATTATTATTTCAAATATTATGTAGAGTTTATTAATGCCAAAAAGAATACAATTTATTTGATGCTAGGCAATTTTCAGCAATGCGTGCTTCGGATGTATCAAAGGCCATATTTGTTAATGTTGTTTCTTAATTGGCTCAAAGAGAGAGCAGTGATATCCTTTTTTATTTAAAAATTGAATTTCATTTTTTACCTGAAGTCCGCCTTTTCTCCCCACAATGCGCTAAACCCTACATAGTTGATTCTCATATCAGGAGTCAGAGGCCAGACTAGGAGTCTCCTTTCTGCCGGTGCTGCGCCACGACCAACCGATAGTCGACCGCCCTCCCACCACACCCACCACGCGCACCACGACTCCGCACCAGAACATTCGTCGTCGTTGCCCGTTTGTTCCGCGCTGGCTAAATGCACGTCGTACCCTGGAATAAACGACATCGTCCCAATATAAGAAATGATGAAAACTGGTCATAAATAATATTATATATAAATTGTTTTTGCTTTGAAAGACTGCAGACAGGAAAGAGCATAAAAATAACTTTCTTTATAATTTGGCTTCTAATTATTTAATTAAGGAAAGCTGTGATCAAAACAAAGTGAAAGGAATTACTTCTGGATGATAAAAATGTGTCTCAAAATCAAACTTAAATCATTATTGTGTGTTGTCCGCAAAGATTGTGAATCCAATTAAAAAACTGGTCCACTATATAAACAACAATAGCTTTTCTATTTGCTTTATCTAGTATGTCTTCTACGTAATTACCATGTTTCCCTTTAGCGATCCAAACGCGGGACCTCTCGAACACGACTCTGTACATATCGTCTGAGGGTTCTCGTATAGAAGAAAGTGCGACATGAGCAGCACCCTTCGCCCGTAGTTCCAGAACCAAACCAGCTCGGTTGCGCGGCGCTGCCACCCACTGCCATTCCCAAGAGCCAAGGGACGATACCGCGAGATGTTCTGAAAGATATAAATAAAGCGTTATAGTGAAAACTAAAAGGACATCTAAGGTAACATTATTTTACCAAAAAAAATATTAGTCTATTCATTTCCAAATCAAGTTTATGATTCCAACGTTTCCTACGAATAGGTAATTTTTTTTTTGGTCAATTTGAAGAAAAATCCTTTACAATTGTTGAAGTTAAAGAGATAATTTTTATTTATTTAAGCCTTGTATCATGAGCTCATTTAGTTGTAGTATTAAGTACATAAATAAAAAAACAAAAATTATATTTAACACAACAGTCATACAAATACTGAAGACGCTATCTTAAAGTTCGTGTTAAAACTTACCATTAGCACAAAAGTATGCACTCTGAGTGTCACTTCTGTGCAATCCTTCAGGCAGCACAAGCACACTCGCCGATCTTATCACTGAGCCGACCAACGTCTCGTTGTTAAATGATGTGTAAGAAACGGAACAATTGTCCGCACTGTATCCAGTTACTTCAACTGAAATATAACATAAGGAAATATTTAAGAAAGTATTTTATAGTTAAGTAGCTTATGCTCGAAACTCTGTACGCGCCGAATAAAAAAATATTAATAAGTAGCCTACGTGTTCTTCCAGATTACGTTCTAAATGTATGCCAAATTTCATCAATATCCGTTCAGCCGTTTTGAAGACATCTATTAATCTATCCTTCCAAACATTCGCATTTAAAATATTAGTAAGAAGTAAGAAGTAAGATAGTAAGGATGTAGGTATATGAACAAGCGGCCATTTGATTTTGCTAAAACAGAATATATCACCTTCCCAACCTTTTCTTATAAGATAAAAGATAGGAAAGACGAATACGAGTATTTAACGATAGTTATTTCTTTTTGTTTTATTATTTACTGATACTAAAAAATAACGAATGATTATAAATATATCTATAGACAATTTCCAATCATAAATCGATACAATAATTTCGAGTCTTATAAAACTTTTATATCAGTATAACGCTTTGGTAATGTCGAGATTTATATTACTTTCTTACGACTTACAGCAGCTTCCTGTGTCAACCAAGAAGTGTATACGCGGATTATGAGTTAAATCACAAACAAGAATCTTTATACTTAAGTCTTTCAAGTCTTCGTCGACTTTTCATTGAGTTTTTTTTTGTCAAGTTTTTAATTTTTTTGTTATTACTTTTAAAATAATATAACTTGAGGGTTATAACTAAATTATTAGATCTATAAAATCAAATCGTAAATACGATTCTTGTCTGATTTAATCTGAATAAAACAATCGAATCTGAATCTAAGTCATTATATGAACAATTTTTGATTTCCTTTCGAATTAGAAACTAAATGAAACTATTTTAATCCTAACAAGGACATTTGAAATGCTGGTATACGATTGGATATTTGGAAAATGGGTTTACGTTATCATAGTGAAGCCATCTACATAATACAGGAACTCACGTCATTGATGCGATTGTTCCCACCCGAGTTCAATTTAAATGTTAATTTGCGACTCCGCCATCAATTTGACTAGCTTGTTAGCATGCTTGTATTAATTTGTATACCTTAATATACGTAAATTTAGACTAAATTGATGTTGTTGGTAAATTATTGATTAGACGTACAAGTTAATATTTTTGTAAGTAAAATCTTTTAAAATAGTAACCGTATAATCAAAATGTATGTATAAAATATATCGTCCTCCCTGTCTTTCATTTGAACAAAACAGAGATAGCTATTTGTTTTAAAGGAGAATTTAACGATATGTTATATTTGTTTTCCTTTTTTAAATATAATAAATGCGAATGTTTAGATAAATGGATGGTTCTTTTTTTGAAGGTATCTCCAGAAGGGCTGAACGGATCTCGATTAAATTTGACATACTGTTAGAACATAAACTGATATAAAAACGGCTAAACACTCACCGAGTTTCGAGCCCATCGGGGGCCCCTCACTGAAGTGAGCGACAGGCCGCGTCCGCGAAATAATACCAGTACCACTCATCCTGATGAAGGGCCCCGAAACTAGTCGGTGCCGCCACCGAACGAATATACGTGAGTGTTTAGCCGTTTTTATATCAGTTTAGTATAATGTCTCACGAAAGTTTGAATAATTTATTAAAACATAGTCTGAAAGTACACTTAAGCTGCTATGTTTTTTTTTTTAATTCCGCGCGAATAGAGTCAAGGGTGACCGCTAGTAAAAATATAAAATGTAGAAATTACTTTCAGTATTGTAGTTATATTTTATTAAAATATAAGAGTCATTAATCAAGCAACGTTAATGATATAATTTGAGTAACAAACTTCGTAGCGTGCAAGAGTTTGAACAAACTTCTTGGTGATAAGTTAACGCTGAGATTGTTAAACCAAACTAGAACAGTACTTCGGAAAACTGATTATAAATAACAATATATCTTAGAAAGTTTTTAATAAGATTGGATGCAACTGAAAGTAACTATGTCCATCATATGTGTTGATATTTATAGAACTTAGAAGTTTTACATTTTGATGTTATTCGATTAATCTAAATCGAGTTTTAAAATAAACTTTGTGCCTTAAATTTTCATATAAAAGCTAAAAACCTTAGGATGCGTCAATCATTCTAATACTAATATTATAAATGTGAATGTTTATATGGATGGATAGATGGATGAATGGATGTTTGATTGAAGGTGTCTCTGTAACGGATCACCGGATCTTGATAAAATTTATCAGATATATAGAAAATAGTCTGGAAGAACACAAAGACTACTCATTAAGAGTTTTTTGTAATTCCGCGCGGATGGAGTCGCGGGCGACAGTTAGTTCTACAATAAAACAAACTAAAGTCGAGACTGCTTCGGAACTTAATTAAAATAATTTGCTACAAGGATTGCGCTTCGAATCATTTTTTTAAGTGTTGTTTACAATTATTTTAAACTTCTAAATAGTTTGTAAGTTTATTGAAATGTTTGAAAGTATCTCAAAACCTTTTAAGATTACAAATACATTGTAAAATATTTTTTCCTGGTTCTATCTCAGAATTGGTTCTACTCATTGGTCAAGTTGACACACCAACTCGTGTCACCGTTTGATTAATAAATAATTGCTTAAAATCTCTTCATTATCCTCTTCCTTAGTTAATCCGAAAATGCCCAAACAATCGCATCAATAACTCGAATACATCCAGTAGTGGTCTGATCTAGTCTGATGAAATAAGCAAATGTTACCTGTAATATTCTTCCTTCCCGGCGTATTAACAGCGACTCTAACCACCAGCTGAGTACCGCCGCGTGGACCGAGACGCAGTCGCTCAGTCACATATAGAGCTCCCGTACTCGCGAAAGCCGCGCCAGCGCTCAATGCCAGTAGAGCGGTCACCTTAAATAAATACAGATTTGTGTAAAGACCTATACAGTTTGTGCTTAGTTTACACACGACTTACGTATGCGTGTAAGTGTGTAAGGCCTCGTGCCCACGGCGAGTAACGAGGCGGCGCGATGGAGGGCGATGTTATCAAAATTATAGTACAGTACAGTGACGCGCATGAGCGGGAGCGGAGTACTTTTGTTTACATATAATGTCGCGTCGCCCCGCTCGTCGCTAATTTAGTGACCACTCTTATTATGGTCATATAAAAGTAATTCATATAAATACTCATACTTTTATTTTTATACTAGTTTTACTAATATTATAAATGCGAATGTTTCGATGGATGGATAGATGGATGGATAGATGTTTGTTTGGCGGTATACATGGAACAATACTACTGATTTTTATGAAATTTGGCACAGATATAGAACATAGTCTGGAAGAACACATAGGCTACTAATTAAGGTTTTTTTAATTCCGCACGGATGGAGTTGCGTACGACAGTTAGTAATCTATATTCGTATAACTTTACGCTTGCAAATGGAGTTTATGTCGACGTATCTTAAGTAATCCGTATTGTTCGATATACAACGATTTATCACTTTACTTTATGAGTACATAAAATTGTGAAAGTTATACTTTCGTGTTATGATACTTGGAAGCAATCTCTCCAATGTTGTGTTAGTCAATAATGTTTCTTAGATGGAGTCACTGTTGATACACGTCCGCAGTTTATTGACACAGAAACCGATACTATATTATTATTGTCGAGTGGAATTTCTGCTATGGATAATGGATTGGATATATTTTATGGATATAATATTCTTGAAGAAGTATATTTCTGTTCTGTTTTAGTTCAATACTTGGTTATTATAGTAATTACAATATTGTAAGCTTGTAAAGTATAAAATACTAGCTGTCGCCCGCGACTCCGTCCGCGTGGATATATAAAAAAACTTAATTAGTGTAGCCTAGATTAACTGTGTAGTGTGTGTTCTTTCAGACTATGTTCTATACGTATGCCAAATTTAATCGAGATCCGTTCAGCCGTTTTAGAGATATTTTCAAACACCCATCCATCCATCCACATCACATCCATCTAAACATTTGCATTTATAATATTAAGTAAGTTAAATAAAAAACAGCTCTTCAAGGCATAAATTCGAAAAAAAAATGAATAAATAGTACACTATGACCGTCTCCTGGCTCTATGCTACCACCTCACCAATTTTCAGCTATATCGTTAAAGCCGTTCTTGAGTTATAAATAGTGTAACTAACACGAATTTCTTATATGTATTTATATATAGATTAAATGTACTAAGGGGTGAAACAATATGAGAGTAAAGAATTACAATTTTATTTTATATAGCAATCCTCGTTCTTTTCTCCAAATGCCTTAATTGAAACTATTCTCTTAATTGATTTGCATTTATCTAATTAATGTAAAAAATTTAATTTAAATTGATTATAATCGTACATTATTTAACATTCATTACATTTTTTTCAATTAATCAAAGCTCAAGGAAAGAAAGGAAACGTGAATAAAGTTGTTAATGTAACAAGAGAAGCGTTCAATGTAAGTGCAGGAGGCGTACTGCACTGCAGAGATGCATACGTCAGAGAATTTTATTCCACGCAACATAATGGTGTCGGATAAAAACTTTTCAAGAAGATTACGCTTAGTGGAAATAAACCAAAGAATAGCTTACAGTCTTAGCTTAGAAATTTGATACTTCTATTTTTAATTATAGCCGACTTCAAAATGAAGGACGTTATTAATAAGTCCGTATTCTTTATGTATGTTACCGCGTAACTCCACCCCTGGTGCTCCGATTTTGATTTTTTTTAATCAAAAGGTTTTTATTAAAAAGAAATTGTTAAAAACAATATCAACATTGTAATAACTGGCTGGCTAAGTGACTATAATGTTTGTAAATTGTGTGGAAAATAAATAAAAGTAATAAATAAAGGTTGAATAGATTCTGTGAAACTTCCAAAGGCCGAGTAGCCGCAGGCGTGACAACAAAATGTAGCGCAATAAAGTGCGAATTAACGTCCAGGAACCAATAGGAATGTACAAACATTCGTGCAGTTGACGCAAACAGCGGTAATTAGCTTTCAACGTGACGCTCGTATCTGTTGGTATTATATACTAGCTGTGCCCGCGACTTCGTTCCCGTGAAATACTATGTTTGAGCTTGGCGCGGTACTGTACAGTAACTGGAACACCAGTTTATTTATCTAAAAAAAGGTTCTTGACAGACAGACGGACAGACAACGAAGTGATCCTATAAGAGATCCGTTTTTTTCCTATGAGGTACGGAACCCTAAAAAGAATATTTTTATAATATACACGTAGCCTAAGTTACTTATTATTACATCAGCTACCTGCAAATAAAAGTCCCGTCAAAATCGGTCCACCTATTTCAGAGATTAGCCTTAACAAACAGACAGACAGACAATTGTAAATAAAGTTATTATGGTATGCACCGTAAATATATTCATATACATGTAGTAAAAAACGGTAATATCAATATTACAAACAGACACTCCAATTTTATTTATATGTATAGATTTGGTCTTTGGTCGGTCGTTTGGCGCGGTTTGCGTGCGGTGAGTACAAATGTGTCATTTATGTGGCAGTAACATTTGGTGCGGTCTATTGGTAACATATAAAACTGCGGTTTACCCGAATAAAATTCACGGTACTGCTTTCAGGGATTACTCATGAAAATCAGAACCATTACAATGCTATATAAACATCAATGCGAGCGTCGGTGGCTCAGGGGCCAAGCACTTGACTTGCAATCTGCAGGTCCTGGGTCCGAATCCCACCATGTACCAATGTGTTTTTCGATTTCCGATTTACATATGTACATTTATTCGACGTTCTTACGTTGAAGAAAAACATCGTGATGCAACCTGCACATATCTGAGAAGAAATTCAAAGATATGTGTGGTTGACTACGGACTAGTCACCCGTAACTTAGAGTAGGCTCCGAGCCCCTCAGTGGGGACGTATAGTGAGCTGATGATGATGATAAACATCAATAACCGAGAAAACAAATTTCAGTACCACCATTGTATAGCAAAATATTAACTAACGCAAATTTTTATACTCAAATAATCTGTAATGTAATGTTATCAGCTTTATTGTATACATTAACTTTATTAAGCGCATCCTTGCATTTTATTTAATAAAAAAAAATAGTAGCCTATGTCTTCTGCCAGACTATGTTCTACAACCATACCAAACTCCATCGAAATTCGTCGAACCGTTCTATAGATACCTTCTAACAAACATCCATTCAAACATTCGCATTTATAATATTACTAAGAAGTAAAACAAGATTATCTAATGATCTGTTTGTCAATAAAGAAAACACTTTATACTTACAACTTAGTAAACAAAGGCTAAGTGATATTAAAGTATCAAAATAATATTATACAGGATAAGTGAACCCTAAAACATAACGATAACCATGGAAAACAATGCACGGGTTACACTGATGCGAGTTTGAATCGTTAAACCGGTATAGATTGCCTAATCGGCCCATTTGCGCCGCCGAAACCCGCGCTGATCCCGGCAATCCCTAATCGGGATTCGATGAGAGACATCGATCGCAAACATATTGCTACCGCCGACCGTGCCCGCGACTTAATAGGGTAACCGTGTGTGAGTTTCGTTAAAACGTCGAATATTGTTTTTCATAATACAGACATAAAGTCGCTGGATGCGCAGAGAAAGAAAGAAAAGAAGAGAGAGACAGGAACGAATACTACTTCGAAAAGGCCTATGTTCTGGTCTCGACGGTGGCACTATCACATAGCTAGATGTCAGGTTATGTTCTTATACAGTTTTATGATGTAATATTTAAATTTAACAACAATCAAGCAAGTCTTTTTTGTCCTAACACGTAGACAGAGTTATAAATTTCTATTTGAATTATTCAGCTTTAAAAAACATAAGTAAAATGTAACAATACATTATTCTTTTGTAATTTTTATAAGACATATTTTATGATGACATTGAATAGGTTGCTCTCTCGTTAAAGTTTATCGATGGAGATCAAAGCCAAACAGGGCGCGTATTATCTTCGCTTCGTACGCTCCACTTTGCCTCCAAACTACTAAGAAAAAAATATAAAAGAAACACGTTTCTGGAAACGTGAATTATATAAGACTAAGCTAAAGGTTGTTGGTTGTATTTTGTGAATGAAATATTTTTCTTCTTTCCTGATAATTTTGTATAAATTTAACCTAACAAGTAAACAGTAATTTTTGTATTGATTTCTACTAAATATCTCTAGTTTGCCTACAATTCCGTAAATGAATGTTTTTACTCATTTTTTTTGTGTAATTTTTAAAGTAAACCTAAAATTCTCTAAATGATATGTTGATAGGAAACGCATTATTTGTTGTAAAATATAAAGTGACTCAAGTTTTTAATATCATAGACAAGAGTCAAATGGAAGTCCGCATTTCGTCTAATTAGTGTGCGTCCCGGAGGCCTAATTTAGTCCCTTTTCCCTTCCTATACTTTTTCTTATTAGGAAAGGATGGGAAGTGGAAGTGGTCTTTCCTGATGAGAGGATGCATGGAAATGTTTTCTTTCCGTGCATCCTCTCCTCCGTCGATTAAAGGTAGGCAACGTATATGCAATTGCGTATGTCTATGGGTCACTTCGTTATTTCAGCGATCTAATGTAGCCGTTCGCTTGTTTGCCACCTTATGATATAAAAAAAGCAGTGTAACCAAACATAAAAATACATTCTTACAACGTGTCGGTACACAGAACAATAATCACAAGAAATGTATTTATTTAGGACTGGTCCTTACATAAATGTTATAGCTGTTATTTCTGTTTCGTGCATTCAAAGCCATAAATTAATTTGGCAAGCGTACGGATGTCGGATAAACTTTGTTATAACAGTCGCAGTATTTCAGGTGCGATGAGAATAGAAACAAACGACTATTCTGACGTTCATTAATGGAGCTTGAAATGTAGAAACAAGTGAAGACGTAATTTGACTAACCCTTGGTTCCTGAGACCAAAATCTCTATATAAAACATATCGTCATCCTGGTTACAGTTACGAAGATTTTGGTCTTAGAAACTCACAGTAAGTATAAATAACTTAAGTGAAAATTTCTCGTAGCTTAGTTTAAAAAGGTCACTATTATTATAAAATATCTAAACAACAAAATTCACTCTCAAAATGTTTCATTACGTAGTTATTTAAATTTTGAACTTAATTTACACTGATAGTAAGGTTTATTTTACGTAATATTAATGACGTTATCAATAGAATAATTTAATTATTAAAACCTATAATAAATTTCATCAAAGCGACAACAGAAATTAAAAAAAAATCTGCATGACCATACTTACATCCATACAATTATTTATGTTATTTGTAATCTTCACATCAACTTCGACAGTTTCCCCAACTTTTAATACAGGTGGTAAGGCAAAGTCCAGTTGTATAGGACGGAACACATTTATCGTACGAGGTGCTGAGAAACGCAGCCCTCGATTAGATAACGATAGAGCCCATAGTGACCAACGACCGGCTTCAGATGGCGCTGCAATTGTCACCCCATCTGTTGATAGTTGACTCCTGAAACAAATATAAAGTTAAATACTCGTATATAAAGTATGCTACAATTTTTATTAAATATATTCTTTTAGATATAAAGGAAAGTTTTAATTAAATAAGTTTTTAAACTGCATTTATTGTTTTGTAGTCTTGATGAGTTAAAGGCAACATTTTCATTTGACTTAACTCATAATATTTTCTTTAAATAATAGAAGATTTTTTAAAAGTTAATTTACTAATATTTCTTCTACCATTCCAACTAAGCTCTAGGCTTGTTCTGGTTTACGACAATAGTCGAATGGTGGGATTCGAATTCTCGACCACATGATCGGAATTACGTACCCTTAACCATTAGGCTATTGACTTAAAATTCAAACGTTGGTATAATATATGTATGTGTAGTTAATTTCGTAATTATTTTTAATTAATTAATTAATGATAATAAAATATGTTTTTATTAAAACAAAAATGAATAAATCATACGAAATATTAAATACGGCAACATTTTAATAATATAAAGTTCAATATTTTAAACACGACTCATAATTATTCAACATAAGCATTGTTCAAGCGGAACTAGCTACAGCTATGTTAATTAAGTCGTACAATGTACATGGTTTTATCGAAATATTGTATCAGTGGACGTAATTTTAATTGGTATAATGAAAATAGGAACAGTAATTCAATTACATTAACTTTTTATGTACCTATTACTTTTTTAATGACTATCTAATAAATTAAGAGATTCCCGCCACGTGGCGTATGAAATCGACTACCATTATTCCGATAATCGTATCGCTGAATGGACTAATAGCGAAGAGCTTCAACTAACATCTCAAAAAGCTCTCTTTAAACAGTTGGATTAAGGGCCCGATACAAAAGGCATCCCGCATCGTGAGAAGGTTCCTGTCTCTGCAGCCCTGACTACTGGTTGTTTCAGTCATGGGATTCCGCAGCCGGTGATGCTCTATTGTTAATATTATATTTTTGTTTAATTTTTATTTTATATAATATATAAAATGTAATATATTAAGAATAAGATAAATAAATGAATACGTATATAATCTTATATATAAAATTCTCTCGTTTTTTTTTTCATCCCCATACTCCTCCGAAACGGCTTGACCGATTCTTATAAAATTTTGTGAGCATATTGAGTAAGCCTGAGAATCGGCCATCATCTATTTTTAATCCCGCGCGGACGGAGTCGCGGACGACAGCTAGTAATAATTAATATTATAATTATAAATGCTAATGTTTAGATGTATGTATGGATGTTTGTTAGATAGTATTTCCTGAACGTCTGTATTTTTGAACTTAGTCTCGAGGAACAACTGAGATACTTTTTACCCTTTTGTTCATTCAGACAAAGTCGTAGGTAAAATATATTTATATTATATTTACAATTATGAATTTTAAAAGAAAAATCTGAACAAAAAATTAATTAATGTGATTGATATAACTTTCTAAGAACCTTCTCTCTTACAATCACAGCCAATCAGGAAACGTTCATCAAAACTTTGTTGTTGAGGAAGTTACGGTATTGATTTGTGTTATTTTGTGATTTGTACTGAGAAGTTTACTTTCGTTGTTAAAGTAAAAAAATCTGGATGATAATTGTGTTTTTTGGAAATTATATTTAAGTACGAATTATTAATAAAATGATGAAATATGAATAATATTTTTCGATCTTACCGATAGAAAAAGTTAAGTTTATGTTTAAGTTGAATATCGATAAAACACGAATAAAATGACATTTTCTAAAAATGGTTCCTAGCTAGATCGAATTATCGCCCCCGAAACCCCCTACATATTAAATTTTATGAAAATCTTTGGAGCCAATTCCGAGATTCCAATATATATAGATATATACAAGAATTGCTCATTTAAAGATATAAGATGTGACCGTAGTAATTACATAACTAAAATTAACATAAGATATGCAGTAATCGATATTATTTGAGAGAGATTACGACAACGTGTTTTTATGTGAATGAAGTCAGTGTAAACTCTAGTTTATCGTTAGTTTATTCGAAATTGGACTTTCACGGAAACAGTTTGTCATTTGGCAATGCGCGCATAACTTACGGCTCTGGACAGATGAATCAGCGGATTTTGAATTTATGAGAGTTAACTCCGTGACTTATTTATTACTGGCTATCGTAGTTTGCAGCTACGAATTGATAATTTATTTTATGACGAAAGCCGCATTCTCAGTAATTCCATTTAAATCACGGTATATAATTGATTTGATGCGAATTTCTACGTAAACTACCTAACATTTTTTTTCTCTCCTCCATGTTTTGGATAAACATATTGTAAGAACATATTGTATTCTTTCTAACGCATGCTATTACTCTTTAAACGCTCAATGACTTTAGAAAGATATAAATATTTCTGATGGTACGATTATGATGCACTTACGTGTAGTTGAAACATCTCCACATCCAAAGGCGGTCGTGTGTGGCGGGCGGCACCAGATGCGCGGGCGCGCGGGGCGGAGCGCGCTGCCGGTATAACACCCCGCCACCACCACAGCCCCCGCTACCCACGAAGAGAGACACGCCCGCGGACACGAACTCCGGACCCGGCTGTTCTTCATGTTCTGATGTTCTGCATATAATATCCGAAATTAAATCTTATTTATATTTAATGTGCACAAAAAATTAACACAATTGAAATAAAAAGACATAAGAAAATATAATACAATTTTTTAATCTAAAACAAATAAAGTAACTACTTTCAGTTTTAACTGTACAGTTTAAACTAATTTAATCATGATTAGATAGTCAATTGAACTGTAAAGTTCAGAAAAGTTAGATTATTTTTGGGGCAAAGGGAAAGAATTATTTACTTTGAAAAAGTAAACCTTAGTTCTTACAACTAACAACTTTCCTGCAATTCGCCATTGAGACCGGAAAGTTCTATTCAATTTTAAATTTAAACGGTATATAAATATACATAAACAAAGATACATGTATGGTACTCTATTATGTGCGTTGGTCTATAAAGATTTTTCCATAATGCGTATAAAAAGTATGCTCTTCACGGTTCATACAACAGGGTATCAAAGGCGTCTAGTAAAAGGATTTGCGCAATGCAGCACTCACCGTTTGTGAGGTAAATGGTAACGAGAGAGTTTTAGCCCGATTAGAACCACGCTATCAACGGTATCCTACAATAATTAAACATAGAGTAATTAATATTCGAATGCGGTTATTCGCATTTGTACGCTATTCATTGGTGAGTCCATTAATTGAACTCAGTTAATACACTCTAAATTGCATTCAATGAATGTGTTATTCGAAATCATATTGTATTAGTGAAATTTTGTTACTCGTCATTTATATACAACTAATATTATATTTGCGAGTGTTTGGATAAATCCTTGTTCAAAGGTTTCTCTGGAACGGCTGGATAGATCTAGATGAAATTTGAAATATATGTAGAACATAGCCCAGACGAACACATAGGCTACTAATTATGTTTATTAATTAATTTTGCGTGGACGAAGTTGCGGGTAACAGCTAGATTTAGAACATATACACTGAGGTGGACGACGAGGAGAAGGCTAATATGCTTATAAAAGTTTAGTGTTGTAATTGGCTATTTTGCCATAATTGATATTATTTTCAAGAAAAAAGTAAAAGTTGGTCAAACAACAATAAACTAATTTTAAACTTGATATTGCTGCAACTGTAATTTTAAGTTTTAATGTATCTTGTTTCAGGTTAGTCTTGAGACAATTATACAAACTGTGGGAAAAGTTCTAGCACGAAAATAATGAATTTAAGACACCACAATAACTTTACGTCTTAAGCTAAGTTGCATACTTGAACTATAAAGAACCTGTCGACAACAATGTATTTTCCTTCGCCGCGCAATTTATCATACTCTGATCACTCGAAGCATAAACTTGAAGATAGCGTGCCAAAGAAATAGATAAAAAGTTTCTCAAGGAGATACACTTTGCTGTAAGAGGTTGACCTTTAAATATTTTTCTTAGTAATGGAAATGCTAAAATTATATAAATACAGAAATTATTCCTTCATGTTTTCTTATGGGTAGAGTATTTTATTTGTTATCGTAAAATACAAAACGAATAACATTAAATATATTTGTAGATTTTACTTTACTAAAATCACAGTTATAAAACTAATTTTCGATTCTTATAATTTTCTTGCCTATTGTTAAAACTGATTTAAATAACAGCGCGTCTGAACTTCAAATCAGACCTACTTTATCAACAATTGTTATTCAGAAACTAGCTCTGGATTAGTTTGCTATTTTGTTAATTCTCATTGACCTTGTTTATTATAGTAGAAATTAATATTCTTCATACAATAGTACCTAAGTAACTGTAGGTTTTCACTGTCTAAAAAATTGTATATAAACAAATCGTACACCCACGCCTTAAAAAAAAAAGAAAAATTGCAAGTTTTAATACAAGTAAGTAATGGAGTTCCACGGAAGATTAGGTTACAAAGAAATCACGATGCCTACGTTTTTTTGTGTGCCTACGTAACTACCAAGCTAAAATAACTATCAATATATTTGACGTGAGATTTTCAACGGGGCGTCTGATTAATGGCCCGTATCGGGCGCCGTGTAGGTGCACCGGAATGATTTACTGCGCCCCAGCCTCGGATATGTTACTGGATACAGTGTAACAGGAGATTAAACGCTAAATCGCTATCGTACAACATATTAAATATTTATATATACACAGACATAACTAGTAGGCAGAGTTTACGGATCTTTATTTGGTGTAGCCAAACCAACCTCCGCAATCCACTTTTTGCACTTGCGCGAGACGGAGTTTCTGAGACTAAAATCCTCAAACACATTGTTATCTCCGCTTCGTCAAATATAATAATTTATAACACGATATATTTTGTTCTCAAAAATCAACGGTAAATGCTATAAAATAACGACAATGATAGTAGACTTTACAAGTATTATTTGTTTAAAATATCTTACGTTTGGTGAGGATCGAAGCGTGTGTCAGGCGGTGATCGGGCCCCAATTAAGCACATCAAGGAGTCTGGGGGAGCGAGCACTCGTAACTGCAGCGCGGCCCGCGGGTACCACCATCTCCTTTCCTCTACAGCCACCGCCACCTGTGTATTAAATCATTTAGTACCAAAATTATAATAAAAAACACGTCTACCAATAATCAAGCCTGCATTAGTACTTTATTTTGAACTTTTTAGTGGGATATCTACCTAAATTTTTAGTTCATTTAAGTAATTAGCTACACGACTTTGACGTAATTGCAACTGCTACGCAAACAGCAACGTTACCGCTACGCTACTGCTACGTGATTGATACGCGACTGCTAAGCGCCTGTTAGGTGCTGCTACTTAATAGCGATTAGCTGGTACAAAGTTATATAAAATATTTGTTTTGCAAAGAAAAACAACAGATCAACTTATTTTCTATAACAATGTTAGTATACACGGATAGTTTCAAAACGGAGCACTTCTAGCTTAAACTGTTTGTCCTTTTAGTTGTGTAATCGTCGGTGTCGCTGGAGAGAGCGTTTATTTTGCCACATCTAGATACTGTCAACAGACGGGCGAGAGACTTAATTGTTAGCCCGTATAGACAGCAAATTGTCTTCTATTTAGTTGGCCGTTTACTTTGAAATTGTTAATAATTTATCTTTAACTGTTTAGTTTAATAAACTATCTACGATATTTCGCTTAATACTATGTCTCGATTTGAATAATAATGAAAACATTTTTTTACTCGTATGAAGTGATTTGATTTATTCTACTTAGTTACTTAAAATGTATGAACTAAAATTGTAATTGCATAATTGTTTAATTCAATATTTTCGGATAGATGGCGCCACCAGGAGAGTAAAAAAGTACTGGCACATATTGGCGCCGTGAGATTTTATAATGAAATCAAATCGAGCAGTCTTTTGTTTATTGTGAATTTTAATATTTCGTGTTTTTTTAAATTCGTCGTGTGTGTGTGTGTTGCTTTTATTTCAACAATAATACTTGAAGATTTGTGTGCTGTATATGATTAGTTCTTTATTTTCGAAAGCGTACCATTAAATGAATTGTAGTTCTTTTAAATTAAAATTTAAATAGTATTTACATTTTGAAATATTATTTTCATATAATTTGGTTCTTTTAAATTTGCTTCGAATTCATTTATTTTGGTAAAATATTACTGAACCTATTACACTAATTGCTATGACAGCGGTTATTAAATTTGTCTCCAGTGATATTGTCAAATTATGTTGTAACTAGAAGCGCTATTAAGGTTAATTAAGGAGGACAAGGGATTGTTAATTTTCATTACGAAAATGTTGTTTACATTTTCTTGTCCAGTGACAAGGATGTGAACGAGCTAATTAAATGTACATAAAAAGAGAATAGAAAAAATATGCCATACTTTAGCTTATATATACCAAGATTTTATGTGTTAAGATACACCAATAATAGATTCATTCTTTAGTAAATTACATACGCTTGGGTTATTTTTCTTTAAATATTAAACTTAGCCGATTAAAATTATATCTGTCATTGTTCATATTTTTATTAATTTATTAACTCTTAATGCTATTATATATAAAAAACATGCTACAAGCGATGTCTTTTAGGCAACCCAGTGGGACAGGAGAATGACATTTTATTCGTATTCATCATCATCATCATACTCAGCTTAACTTGTCCACAGCTGGACGTAGGCCTCCCCTATCGATTGCCGCCATCATTGGGTTTATTCGTATTAATTTGTACAAATTATTAGCATTTTTATCTTCATCATCAAGCTTTCGAAGAACTTCATTGCAACATACAACCAGAGTTCAATAAACTCAATGTGTCATATAGAAAAAACATTCAAAAATTTTATATTGAAAAGGAGACAAAACGCTTTTACAGAAAATGTATGAGTATTTAACACACTTAGATATGTTATATAGAATGGCCTTAAATGTTGATTACTAATATAATTATATGAGAAATTTAGAGAACGTACTTAGAATTCTGACTTGAATTTGATGTGAATTATTTACATTCAATTAGTAAAGCTAATCAAATTAGAATGTATTTAATTTAATTAGTCGAAAGATACAATTGTTTCGAATTCGTAAATGTTAATTGCCTTCAATTGTAGACGTAGGGAAGACTTTAGACCTGTCTTATCTTTTAATACTAATTACTTTAAATGCTGAAACCCAGGCTTAAGCGACGCTTAAGTAATCTTTATTTAGAATGCCAGTATAACTTTAGTACTGAAAACCTTAAAAGGTGGATTTCTACTTTTAATAATTACGAAGAAAAAACTTAATCACATTCACTTTGTTTAATAAGCTGTTTGGCTTAATATAACTTAAACAATATTTATTACGTGTTAAGTGTTAAGATTTTTATAAAGGTAAAAATATGTAAATATGTAAAAGAGCGTCGGTGGCTCAGGGGTCAAGCACTTGACTTGCAATCTGCAGGTCCTAGGTTCGAATCCCACCATGTACCAATGTGCTTTTCGATTTACATATTTACATTTATCCGACGTTATTACGGTGAATGAAAACATCGTGATGCAACCTGCACATATCTGAGAAGAAATTCAAAGATATGTGTGAAGTCAACTAACCCGCACTGGGCCAGCGTGGTTGACTATGGCCTAATCACCCTTAACGTAGGGTAGGCTCCGAGCCCCTCGGTGGGGACATACAGTGAGATGATGATGAAAGGAGGTAATTTTTAGTTATAAATATAATTAAAAATATGGTCCGTGAAAAAGAAATTAATTAATAATATTGTAACATGATTTACTATTACATTCATATTTTGTAGAATTATATACTTTGTAAACACTACCGATATCCTAGTAAAGCCCGATACAAACTTTGTCGCAGACTCAAAATCAACATAACGCTAATTAAGCTCGGCAAACGTCACCTCAATTTCACGCCCACTGAATAGACAAAGCTTTATAATTGCAATAAATATTAGATAAAGCTCCAGCACGATTGAACTTTACTTTTTGCAAATTGTTTTTATATGGTAGCTTCAAAAGAACTCAAAGTAAAAACATTAAAAAAAATTCAATACCTAATAAAAGAAAAGCTTTTTGTTTATCATTAAAATTACTTTTCGCACCCGTCGCTCTTTTTCTTATACCTCCATCTTATTGCAAACAAGACAAAGTTGAAATTACCTCTTTATGTAGCAGTCGGACGTGGAAGCTGACTACGTCACTCACGGGCTCGCCAGCCTCGGTCACGTAGTAGACGAGGAGAGAGCTCACTGGCGCCATATCAGCCGTCACCGGGAACCTGAGGAGAAACGGGTAGCATGATAATACTGTCACTAGTATCCTATGATTAGTCTATGCATAGAACATTAAACTAAGGATTTCTATGATTGTCTCCGTTTATTTTAAAACAGAAAAGAGGACAAATAGTAAAAGGAAGTGCTTTGTGAACAGTTACAGGTCTTGACATCTTACTCAAGGTTGTTGGTTTGAATCCGTCATTTCATTGTGGTTATATCTTAGTAAAGACTAAGAGCTAAAAAGATGGATAATTATATATTAATAAAATATGACACTAGTATAAAACTTTAACCCTTATAGTGGCAAGATTTTTTTATTGAAGAAAATCAAAAAACAAAGTTAAAAATTATTTTATAGTGATCGTATATTTTTCGGTGAAGGAAAACATCGTGATGCACATATCTGAGAAGAAATTTAATAGACATGTGTGAAGTCAACCAACCCGCACTTGGCCCGCGTGGTTGACTATTGCCTAATCACCCTTAACTTAGGGTAGGCTCCGAGCCCCTCGGTGAGGACGTATAGTGAGCTGATGATGATGATGATGTAAATTTTTATAAAGTTGTATGTATGGTATACTATACAAAATGAACATAAGGGTTAATTTATAAAAATGTACATAATGTCATTTGCTATTAAGAATAAAAATTTATAACATAAAAATAGTATTAACGGACTATTGCAATACTGTTAAGTTACTAAAGTAAGTCGATGTAAGGGTAAATTGTAATAGAAAAACTTGTTAATACAATACCGTTATTGAATGATCCTCGGACCTTAAGGCAAAGTTTCCCCATTACGGTGAGGAGTCGAGCAGAGCTGTCTGTTTAACTTAAATTACTTTTAGAGTTCAACTCCCTCTCAATTATAGTTCCTTCATCATTATAAAAGCGCTTATAGATTTTCATCGCTACCGTTTTAAAAGGTTTTTTCTTCCCTGCCAGTTATATTAGAGAAATATATATTTTAATTAACACAGTAAATAAGAAATAAGGAGCATTTGATTAACGAAATGTAGAAAACCAAAATTTATTTTCTTTATAAAATAACTAGCTGTCACCCGCGACTCCGTCTGCACGTAAAAAAACTTATTTAATTAGCCTATGTTCTACATGTGTAACAAATTTTACCGAGATTCATGAAACCGTTCAGGAGATACCTTCAAACAAACATCCACCCATCCAAGCATTTGCATTTATAATATTAATAAGATTTTAAAAAATGAACGATTCAAAAAGCGATTTTAATATTGAAATATTTTTAGTTTATCTTAATAAAGATTAATTAAATAAAATTCAAGGTCAAGTGATACTTAAATACATTAAGTCTTACTGGATTAAGAGGTGATTACCAGTTTATCGGGTCTAAGAAGCGGGATTTTATTTTAATAAATTACGCCGAAAATATCTTCATTAAAGGTCGTATCATTAATTTTAATTTAGTTGGGAAGGACGATTTGATTGGCTTTCTTAAGAAACATAATCAAAAATACGCATCTATAAGAATTAAATTAATATGGAAAGATACTATGCCATCATCCGAAGCGTAGTTTTTCCATACTAAATCCGTGCTAAGTCCGTAAGTACCAATTAAAATTTTCTGAGTGAGCACATAAAAACTGTGAGTTCGATGATACGAGAAGGTAAAACAATTGAAATACCCAATTCAATCCACTAATGAACGACAATGAATTGATGTTTTGAATAGCCATCGAGACTGATATGCGGACGATAAGCGTAGAGCATTTCCAAATAGAACATAGTCAGGTGTCCACTTTCATTAGCAATGATTCCCGCTCGTTTACTGTTTCAACAACAGCCATTTATGTTTGTTATGTCAGTAGTGAGCCTTTTGACGTCCCTTTTATGTCTCGAACAATAAGCAAACAGAAGCCTCGTTTGTCATCAAACTAAACACGTTGTTACGTAATATACAGCAAACAAAAGAATATTCGTGTACAAAAAATCTTTTAATATATGAAATTGAAAGTGTATAAAAGATACTTGAGAAATATTACCTTACTTAGTATATCGAATATAAGATAGGGTGGTCGATTGTTGAAAAAATACTGCATTAAAGAACAGCTTGTCTTAACTAGAATGAGAAATATTAAAATACTAGTTGTCACCTGCGACTTCGGCCGCGCCGAACTAAAAAAAACTTAATTAGTAGCCTATGTGATCTTCCAGACTGTGTTCTATTAGCTATAATAGAACACAGTCTGGAAGATCATAATTATTCTATGTTCTATTATAGTTAATCCATTAAATCTATGCCAAATTTCATCAAGATCCATGGGCATTCTGGAGATACACTTTACAAACATACGTACATCCATCCAAACATTCGTATTTATAAATTTAGGAAGAAGTAAGATTTGCACTTATCTAATTTCTTTTTAACTTTTTTATTCGATGCTTTTATTTTTTCTTCAAGATGCTTTATATTTTAAAGTAAAGTTATAAATATAAAATAGACAGTGAAGGATAAATAAAAGCTATGGTAAGTAAGCTGTAGTAGTCAAAGACCGAGACCATTAATCGTGTCGAAAAGTTCAATGAGCCTCGCTTAGTTTAATGGGATGAGGCTAGTGCAACTAATTATCTCTTTGGCCTTTGATTGAGCCGAGAAAGATTGAGAAAGTTTTACTCATCTTCCAACTAATAATGCCGACTTGTAGATAACTTAGATAGGAATTTATTTTAGTATTTGAAAATAAATTACTGAATACAAAAATCTTATAAATAAGTAATAAAGGTAAAAATCTTTATTACTAAAGTATTTAATTAATAAAGTACTTTATCACAAAGTTCAGGAACTAAAATGTAATAATTTGTTGGTTTCTGATTTTTAACTTTATTAATAGTGTACAGCGACCATCTACTGTCTATTCCCCCTTTTTCATCTTGGGAAGGGGGTGGGTCAAAACCAGCTCGACACTGGAATCTGATCTGTGTTGGCAAAGCTGAGCCACTCCCTTTTGCCAGCACTATCTCTGTATAACAGTGTGTTCTATAATTTTTTTCAGTTTTTTTATGGCAATAATTTATTATTATTATTTATTATATAAAATAGTTTTTTGTAACAAAAAAAAACAAGTAAGACAAAATACAACATTTTTATCACCATACGAATAATAAGACTTGGAATTGCGACGATGTTGCAATAAACCCGTCGGGACATTCATCACCATGATCTTGTTTTTGTCCGAACACGAACACATCCGATGGCATTTTTCATTCATTTCACCCTGACATTATTTTTATTGCTTAAAACCAAACACATTCGTCATTGTCACGGACAGTATGTGAAACGTATTTATTTTTATTATATAACTGCACCTATAGATTGCAATACAATATTTGAACAACAATATGTTACGTAATATTATAAATTAAATCAGTTTCAACCGAATAATATTAACTTGCTTAACAAATTCTACGAAGAAATGTGTAGCGGCTACGAAGCTACGGCATGCGTAGAGGCGTAGACTTATCGCTACGGAATTTAATGGAAGTTTTATGTCTATATCAGATTTTTCACGAGCTAATTTAACATTTTTTTCGAAAAATTGTTTTATTTAATACAGTTATTTAAGTAAATGAATTATTTACCAACCTTTTAATTCTGAGCTTTAGTATTACCAATGTTGTTTTCAATATAATATTATTTCTCCAATGGTCTGTGTAAATAAATGTATTTGGCATTACATTCCTTGATGCTGCACAGGGTTATAACCTTTCTCAGATCTTATCGCATGGGAATAGAGATGACAAGGGGATGACGTAAGCGAGGGATATAATAATACAATAAATTACATTGCATATTTTGTGAAACTGTGAAAGCTGTGGTTATCTTAGTTGAGCTTACAATGACCCTCAAATACTCTCATAAAAAGGATGTTATCTAAAAATTTATCATAATTTCATGTCTTTGTCATCTTTCTCATGACTAATCAAATAGAAAAAAAATAAGATCGCTTATAAATCAGCATAAAACCTTTTGTAAAAAATATATTAACATTTAAGAATGTTCTTTTTTCAAAATATAAATTGATAGAACGTTAACTCCATTGTTCATTAACTAATGACACAAAAAATTCGTGCCAAATATTTAACGGACAGTAGCGGTCAGACTGCGGTCTCGGACAATTTGTTACTTGTCTACAAATGGGGTGACCTCGCTTCGTCTGTCATACCTTTTGTTCTGATAATAGATAGTAAAATAAGTACTCAAATATTACCCCTTTTTATGTTTAAGTCTCAGCGCTGTATTTAGATGTTGTTTATAAAACGATGTTTAGAATATTTAGGCATAAATTATTTAAAATCTATATACTTACTTAAAGCTCGATGGATATTATTAATGAATTTTGTTTCTAATTCCCTATAACAAAAACATTTTAAACCTGTCATAGGTAAGCTACATCCACGATAAGAACTTTACGATATGCGAACATTTTTTGAAACTCGATTCGATAATAATGAGTATACTGAGACTGCAGGAGCTAACTTAATACGGGATTAAAAGTAGTTATAAATAAGCAAGACTTTAATTAAGAAGCGAGCTCGTTGTTCACAGCATGGCTTGAATCTATAATGAAGGATTACGGTTTCCCTTACAAACTATTAAAACATATTTAAGATGAATATGTTAAAAAATTAAATTACTAATGAAATTTAAAAGTGTATTAAAAATTTAACTGACTTATTATATAAAAATATAAAACACTGTTAGTTTATTTCAAAAAGAGAGACTTTTCGTAACATATTAATTAAGACATAAGCTATGCGAGTAAGCGTGTAATTAAGTGTTAGTTAAGTAAGACAATTTTATGCAGTATCAGATTTTCTAGGAAGCTTATATCGTAAAATAAACTCTATTTACTTCGTGTTTTGTCTTTCAGTAGGAAACATCACATCATGAGCTCAATGCCCCCACCGAAGGGCTAGGAGCCTGCTCTATGTTACAGGTGACTAGGTCATAGTCAACCACGCTGGCCAAGTGAGGGTTGGTTGACTTCACACATATCTTTGAATTTCTTCTCAGATATGTGCAGGCTGCATCACGATGTTTTCCTTCATCGTAAGAACGCCGGATAAATGTACATCTGTATATCGAAAATCGAAAAAACACAGGTACATGGTGGGATTCGAACCCAGGACCTGCATGTTGCAAGTCAAGTGATTAGACCACTGAGCCACCGACGCTAATTGCCGAGGAAACATGGTGGAAATTAATTAATAGAATTTCTTTTAACTTCGGTTTCAGTTAGCTTTTACAGTATTAGAGGCGTAAAATGTTTAAAATATCTACGAAATCCCGGATAAAAAGTTTCATCGATTTTATACAGTGGGCGTACTTATGGTAAACAATTTTGTTACGTAAATAATAGGCTTGTGTACTAAATTTTGACAAATGTTTAATTTTGTATGATTTATTTAAAAACAATAATTTGAAACGAAAGAAACCATGTTTGTGCATACAAAAATCAATTTCAAAATACTGCGACAACATCATAACCTGTCTGGCATCTTCACTGACGTCACGTCGTGATGTAGAATAGAATGGTATTTGTGTTGTCGTAGTGAATTCTGAACTATGAAAATATCATCAATGACAATGATGCCATCCACTGTGTGACGTCACGCGTTCTTATTAGTGTTTCGTGACACGTTATTAAATGTCGAATTAGATGGTTGGTCGATTTTTTTTTATAAATTTTATTAAACGTAATTTATGTTAAAATTCCTTTTTTTATCATGTTTGTAACATATTCAATCACCGAGTAACAAGCCAATGACCATTTTATTGATGACGTAACGTAGTTTTATTTGTTTTATTTTATTATATAACGTATTCCCACAAAGTATTTGCGGGACAATAGGCATCCCTCAGTGCCCTCAAAACAATTTGTTACGTGTTCGCAGATGAGACGGCCGTGCTCTAGTTACATTGATTTGTCTATTGTCCTTTGTTTCAATAGAAACGCTTGCTATTCAGCTCAGTGTTGATTGCAAAGGTATTTTTTATCATCTATAGATTCTCGTTATATAAGAATGATTATGCTATTTTTAATTGTATGTTAATTTTTTTGGAAAATTTTATATTAAAAATTTGTTATAAACATCAGTTGTACTCGTATATCGTTTATTCAACGGAACAGCGACGTAAATACAAATTGAAGGAAAATGGCTATTTAATGTAATAAATTCACATTTCGAACGTTCTATCCATCCATAAAATTGTTGCAACATACATAAATGTGAAAAAAAAATTACAAAGTGATGGGGATCATTAAGATCAAGTACAAACTTTCAAAACTTTCTGCTTAATGTTTTTTGTACATAATCTAAAACGTAATTCCATCATTGCTCTATTGGAGGAGCAATAAAAAAAATATCAACGTAATGCAATGCACGTTAAGTTTCTTATACTGTAAACAATGTAAGAAACTGTAAATGGCGTCTGTGATACCGTGCAAACTTTAGCCATTCCGAGTTGTAGACGCAGAGTATAATGGGTCAACATTAAAAACGTTCCTCCCCGTTCATTTTCACAACGTATATAAATCACGCGGAGTAAACTTTTTGAAGGCTTAAGCGATGCTCCCCAGTGTCGCCCTCTAGTCGCGTACAGTCGCGTACAAAACTTTTTGACAAATGTTTACAACGGTTTGCTTTTTAACCTTTTAAATACCTTAATGTTCTGTTATGTTAAATGTTATTTATTGTTGTTTAAAATTTAATGATGTTTATTACAACATTTAATAACATTTTATTTAAAAATAAACTTTTATATTATATTTTGTTAAAAGCTATAATTTTATTATAACACAGATTCATTAAAAAAATTAACTTTCATTAAAAAAATAATATTCATTAAAAATTTAAAGTTCATTAAAAAATTATAGTCATTAAAATATTTTAATGGCGATTAAAAATAACGCCAAGCTATAAATCGCCATTAGCTCATTGATTCACTAGAGAGGGCAGGTTACGAAGGAAGCTCCTTCTTAATTACAGTGCAGCTTATTTATTGCTACTTTTTATGCCCCCGTTTCTCGTTAACTGAAGCAATCTACGGAGACTAATTATCGACATTTTAGAAAGAATCTAAGCTACCTTTGAGAAATATTTCGCCAGTAACGTTAAACTGATTTTTTTTACATGCAAGACTATTTAACTAAAACAAAATTCTTTTAAATACTATTACAATGATATTGAGCTTTTAACAATTGAATTTAACATTAGCTATTAATGTGTATTTGAACGAATACCAATTTTGGAACTACGATCTTTAAGTACCAAATAGAATACCTAAGTTTGTTGGATGGAAATAGACTATTTTAGCATTATTAAAATCATGTAACTTACGTATAATTAAATCGGCATAAATCATCATTGCTGGTGGGATCAGGCGCGGGTACAGCTGCCCAGTGCACCGCGCGGCCGCCGCTGGTGACCGCCGCTAGGAGGCGTTGCCGGCAACCGCACGATGACCACACACTTGCGCTCGCCACGCCACCTGCCTGCGAGTTATAAACAGATTTGATATACTTTGAAGTCCAAGGTAACTATAAAGGAAACGAAAATTACTTGTTTTTATGGTACCTAGTTTTATAATTGCAGACAAATCTTTAAATAGTAGAAGTTAAGTTGAGTGTATATTATATATTTTTGATTATTAATATCAGCGATATCACTTTTGGTCTATGTATGGATGGAATGGAAACCATTCCATATTCCATGTTTATTTAATGTTTAAAAATGTCAAATACATATTTGTAAAATACCTGCAGTGGTGTTGGTAAATTTTCAACGAGTAAATAGCATTTAGAAGTTGAATTCCAGCGTCGAATCCTCTCCCTGGCGAGGACGTAGTGCGTTTCTATTTCTTTCCCTTCAACTGCAACTAATTCAGCCTGTAACAAATGATTCTTTCATTAATTATGTGACAAAGTAATACAAGATTTATCCATTACCATCAATTTATAGCGATCGTTACTTGCTATAAGTCAGCTCTACATTTTATTAATGACCTGCCATTTTACACACACAAAAAATATGCATACCGTATCGTTCCTATCGTAGCAAAAAAGGTTAACGTAATTAAAATACGAGTTTTTGTTGAAGGATAAAATCCAATGAATAGCTTCGAAGATATTAGTTATCGTCTCGAACTATTTTGAAATGTCAAAAGGCTTTTTTTACCTCTACAAAAAACTCTACTCAAAGTCAATACTCTGTTGCAAGATACACAATATTACAGGAATTTTATTAATATGAAATTCTTTTGAAGTATTCACTGATATACTTGCAAGTGTCAAGTCACAGTAAGGAAATAATATGCAGATTTAATACAAGAGTGCCGCAACATATTTACCAATTCTTGGAACAGCGTCTCGCAACTCGCGAACATTCTATGTGACTGTACATACACGACACTATGAAATATTTGTACAATACTTTAAAGAATTTTTCAATTGTATATCAGAGGAATACAGATATTCCGTCCGCCGGTAACATCATATAAAATATGAGTTCAGTTGTGGCGGTTATGCACTTCGTATGCCAAAAATCGCTTGCCAAGAACTTGTAAATGCTCCGTATATTTTTATTCAACTGCATAAATGTGCGGAAAAGATTTGGTATTCCTGTTGCAAGTTTAAGTTCGTATTTATTATCTCGAGGATTTTTTTTATTATTCACGGAAAATAAATTGTATTATATTAGAAATGTGAAAAATAAATGTATATGTACGTTAATAATAAGTAGATAAGATTTGATTGTTTGTTTTTTCGCATGTCATAGGCTCTGATACTACAGAACTAATTTGAAAAATTCTGTCACTTTCGATAAGCAGCACTATCCCTGGGTGAGATTATTATTTAACTCTACGAAGCCGCGGGCGACTGCTAGTTTATTACAAAATGAAGACAACACACCCTGTATCTCATATCTTACGCAAAAAAGCAGGAAGTAAGAAACTGATAGACTAATCTTCTTATAATATAGACGTGAGTATTGAGTGTATTGGTGTTATTGAACCTTTTTGTTGGCTGTATCATAAATATTAAATCGCAACCCGCTAGTCGCGTGCTTCTGACTGATACGGGGTTTTATTAGATTTTATTTTTATATATATTTATTGAATTCTATTATAGCTTGGCCCGGAAGAAGTTTACGTGTAATAGGATACATATTTCTCATATTTTAATATGTTTACTATTTGAAAATTTGGCGACGTTGACATTTTCTGCTAATTGATGTTTTATGTAGTTATTTATATAACTTCATACTAATATTATAAATGCGAATGTTTACATGGTTAGATGTTTGTTAGAAGGTATCTCCGTAACGGCTTAACGAATCTTGATGACATTTGGCACATATGTAGAATACAGTCTGGAAAAACACATAGACTACTTATTAATTTTTTTTTTAATACGCGCAGACGGAATCCCGGGGAACAGCTAGTAAAGTAATAAAATTCAGCTTAATAAAATCAAAGGTTCATTAGATGTATTTTCTTTTTCATGCAACCATTTTGTACGGTGATTAAGAAAGTTTGTTTTTTTCTTAGTGAACTTTGGGACCCCTAAGTCATTACGGAGGCGGTAAGGGATAACTTACAGCTCATTGGTTTTCTATTGTCCCTTTATCGAGCCTTTTTGCCATGTTTGCTACGACACAGGAGGGGAGATTTTGCAAAAAAAGAAAATGGAACTTTGTTGCTTTGATGTCAGTTCTCTTTGATCCAATTTAAGGTTGATAAATTCTCTGATGTATAAAAGTATATTTTCGGCACAAAGTATTTTGATTTTTAGCAGCTTACCGTTGCTTTCTGTATAAAACATATCGTCAACCTTTGACTAAACAAAGATTTAAAATGTTTAAAAGAGTTTTAAATGTCGATTTTGGTCTTTAAAATCAACGGTTAATGAATCTGACACGCTATAACTTAACATAAAATTAATCCTTTACGTGTGATATGACGATTAACATACTTCTATTTATTTTCATGATGTCAAGCGAGAATTAGAAACAATTCCACGTTTCGTCTGATGAGTTTGTGTGTCAGAAGTCTTATTTTATTTCCCCATCTCTACCCACCCTTTTTTATAAGAAGATGGGAATACGGTTATTAGACTTTACGCACTAAAGACAGGCAATGCTTCTGAAATTGCGGATGTCTATGGGAAGCGATCGCTTTTATTATTTCAGCAAATCCAGTTAGTCGCTCGCTCGTTTGACTCCTTATAAAAAAGGATTAGTTTTAGCCGAAACTTGTATCGAAATAAATAAGGTTAACACGAGAATGACATTTATTTGAGAAATTTTACAGCATTGGTTTAATAAAATAAATTGAAATAGTAACTCAATATCTCCGCTATGCACCTAGATTTCCCCAGTCCCCTTAACTACGCGGAGCACGTCAAAAACCACAACTTCACGAAACTTGGTTTGGATGCAGTTTAGTTGTCGAACGCAAATGCATACTGCCACAAAATTTTGCCACACTCGAGCTAAAGTTTGTTTTAACATTTCAAAACTAACATCGTTAATAAATATATAAATCTCTTCACTAAAATAACCTAACATATTATACGTTTTTTCTTAATATCGTATTAAAAAAATATTTAAAAGCAAGGAATTAATTCAAATGAAAGTGAGAAAATAAAATAATTAATTTAAACTTATTAATAGTTTCCTCAGGTCATACATAATACTAGCTGTCGCTTGCGACTCTGTCCGCGAGGAATAAAAAATCTTAATGAGTATCCTATGTGTTATATCATGCCAAATTTCATCGAGATTCGTTTAGCCGTTTTGAAGATAACTTCTAACAAACATCCAACCATACATGTACACATTCGCATGATATTAGTAAGATATCTTCGTTTAATTTTGTTTTTTCATTAGGCAATAAAAATATACCTCTGATATAGTGTAGTCTTTAACAAGATTAATTGAATTATCTCCTGTCGAAATCGTTATCAGTCTGAGATGAGATTCGATTCGTTTTAGAAACGAAATCGGGGTGTGTACATACTTCGCATGGGTATCGGACCGGTTTAATTAAGTTAGGTGAATTGGAGACTGATTTACTTCGATTTAACATGTCTGTGTTTATCAAAAGATATATAATTTTGAATATACAAACATTTTAAAACCGAAATTACGAAGGTTTTTTAAACTAATTTCTTTTTTTCTAAATATGTAGACGAGTAAAACCTACGCTTTTAGTAAACTATTCTATTGTTCTTATGAAGCAAATGAATACACAGCAACACGGACAATTTATATAAATACTAGCTGTCACCTGCGGCTCCATCCGCACGGAATTAAAGAAAAATCTGCAGCATATGTGTTCTTCCAGACTATCTTATAAATCTATAAAAGAAATTTCAGCGAGATCCGTTCAGTCGTTCTGTAGATACCTTTAAACAAACATCCATCCATCTAAGCATTCGCATTTAAAATAATAGTAATATTTTAAAACATGTTTAAAAAAAAACTTTTCATGTCTTTCTTAAAAAATCCAATGCTGTTTCCTCAAATTTTTCCTGTGGTTTCCAAAAAGTAATTACGCTTAATCAGGTCATTGAGTAAAAGAACTTGCGAAACTCTGACTCCCTTTGGGACACCAATCGTTGCGCCAACGTGGCATACAAATTAGTGTATTATGTAACATTTGCATATAAAGGATTTCCTTAAAACCTCGAATTGGACCACCTAATAAATGCAAGTATTTTAACTTCTTGCTGTTTATACACAAATTCTTAATCCTTTATCATCTTTGGCAATTATCAACTCTACAAAATGTGTGACATATATAAAATAAATTAATTTGCTTAAAATTATCATTATCATTGTTAATGCTTGTATATAAACCAGTAATTGGCTATGTGATCTTAATACGGTACACACTAACTTAGTAAACAAGTGTGTTTATCTAAAAATCGATTCTAACAATTTGGATGAAATTCTGTATTAAACCATATTTTATTACATCTCTTTGACTGCTTTAGCGGCAGTAAAATGTCCAAATTTAGTCTATTGTTACGTTAAAAAAAGTCAATATTTTTTTTAAAAATTTAATAATAGCAGATTACTTTGTAAATTTACTAATATTTCTTTTACCATTCCAACTAAGCTCTAAGCTTGTGCTAGGATATGGTTTACGACAATAGTCGAATGGCGGGATTCGAACCCCCGACCTCGTGATCGGAAATCCGTATCCTTAACCATTAGGATATTGGCGCTTAATATATACCCTAATTCAAGATTCGACTATTCAAATTTAAATTAAAGGGGATTTTGTGGTTTGAGCAACTCAGAACTAAAGTTAAGCTAGACCAAAATCAATCCATTTGCAGACTCAGCGGTCGGTCTATACAATTATTAAGCCGAATTGCGAGATATGTGCTGTTTGAAATAGACAGGCCAATTACTAACTTCAATTTGACAACCCTACTGTATAGAAATTAGATCATTTTCTTTGAAATATTACTTTGGAACATCCTATGAATTGTTGGTCTTTTTAAAGGCTTTCTTGATCGTGGGATGTAATGTAGCACTTATTAACTTACGTACATTAACTTAAAACCAGTAAGTTTGACTTTAACATTTATCTTTCAAAACATTTAAAATGCATGTAGAAGAAGCTTGAGATGTGTACCTGGAGTGCGCTAAATGAGGATTTGTGGTCTCTGCCCAAGACTGTCTCTGCCTCTCTGGGTAAGAGGCGTGAATTATGTTGTTATTTAAAATACTCAATAATAAGACATATTTAATAAAAAAAAACGATTAAATTAAATTTTAATTTGTTAAAATACTTTAGTTGTAACTCTAAAGTTATTTACGTCACGGACATAATTTTTTTTAAATTATTTATTTTCAAAAGCATAAAAACGTCCAA